TGTCTCGTCGTTCGGATTGGACAAACAACCGAGGTCACGTGTACACATTGGCGTACATGTAAAAGATCCCTTGGCAGTTGGAATTCGATATAAGTGTATGATCGTCTTCTTTAGCCTAGTAGCAACAGAACAGTAGACGTGAATTACAACATGTGTATTTAGCTACATTATCCGGACTAACTCATATGAAACATCCCCGCTCACACCCAAATAACGGTTTGAATTTTAATGAGTTTCATTGTTTAATTTGAAGTAAATCACATGTTTATACATTTGTCAGTTTTAAAACAGATCAGTGTTTATTTACAGTGGGTGTAATAACTGGGAATTATCTAATTCACTATGTTTATATACCCGTCTTAATGATATGCAGGTCATTATCATATCCGCTTGTTTCTAAGTCTATACTACACTGTTAAAGCTCCCGTGTATTCATCCGCTTGTTTCTAACTCTATACTACACAGTTAAAACTATGTTCGGATGGGACGAAAAAGCGAGGTCGACTACCGTGTACACATTGGAGTGTACGTAAATGATCCCCAGACATTTGGAAATTAATATAAGAGTAGGTCATATCACCGCTGCTCGGGAACAATTTCCCTGTATGCTCGTCTTCATTAACCCAGTTGGTGCAGAGTAGTAGGACGTTAAACCCCATTTAATTTTATTGTTTGTTAAAACTATGTGTAAATTCTCGATTGTTCATCTGTGGGGCCTGACGTCCGCTTTAACTGATATCACAGACGAACGTATATGTACGAGTAGATTATAAGAATTTGTATCATTTGGGTGCGTTTCCAGCTGTATATATTACCACGCTGTAAAATACATAATATATGTCTGTTGTTAACTGTGCGCGCTGTCATAAGGTCTCTCATTGAGTCAACTGGCGTGGTTTCGGTACCCCGCTTGTACGTGACAAGGAGTTTGGTCGCCTGTCCAACCTCGTGGGTTTTCTCCGGGTCCTCTGGTTTTCTCCCACTGCTAAAGACCCCTACGCGTAAGGGAGTTATTGAAATAAAATTGAACCATTTGTTAGTCCCGAAATGACTTAGTCTGTGTCGAGTGGACGTTAAACAGTTAACACTGTTAACACTATGTGTAAAATACACCATGTAGGTACATTGTGAACTGCATATTTCACTGTTAAAACTATATGTAAAATACCCCATGTTGGTTTATTCTTAGCTATATATAATACACTGTTAAATATATGTGTAAAATACACCATGTTGGTTTATTATTAGCTATATATTACACTCTTAAAACTATGTGTAAAATACACCATGTAGGTTTATTGTTTTAAACCTAGAAATTACACTGTTAAAATTATGTGTAAATTATGTCAGATAAATCTTGGTCTTATTGTGGATTGATTGATTGATTATTTAGAAGCATTTGTGTCTAGCTATGAATACGACAACTTGTAAGCTTCTAAATGTATGGATATCAAAATGACCATTTAAGAGTTGATTATATGTTTTATTCTTCAGGTGAATTAAACGGAACGGATCATTTCTTCATCACTGGTAAATATAAAGTAAGTCAAACTTTTTTCGGGTTACCCCCCCCCCCACTATTCCAAAGTCCATTGCTTACAGATGAAATTATGCGTTATGTTCGTGTTTATTTGCTTAGACATCTGTATGCGTAGTCTTGTGTTCACATCAAGAATTTGTGCCGGTGTATAAGCGACACATGAGTACAAACAAATCCTCAGTTTGGACTCGCTCTGTTGGGTCAACAGTGGGCTTAACGTCAGATATGGCACCGTTTTCGCTTTAAAAGCTACAGGGAACCCTTGCAAACTACAATATTGTCAAAGATGAATCTCTGATAGGAATATGAGTCCAAAAATTATTCAATTCCGTTCAACATTTACAAAAATATGTGGAATTGAAATTTCATCGATTTATGCTTTTCGCTATGTAATAAACCCGTCGCCATTTTGTGGTCCACGAAAATTTAATAATAGGCCGGTTCTAGCTCCGAGGGAATCCAGGCCGGGACAGTATCTAGTGTTGGTATATTCTAATTTTAAAGATACATTATGGGAGATAAGATAAAGAGATGGCAGTTCTCGCTATAATAGTTTAAAACTAGATAGTGTAAAGGTAATTTGCTGAAATTTCAGTCAAATTGATCCACTATGAGCCGAGAAAGAAGCGGGTGAAATTTTTGCATAGTTTCGGTCATCATTACTAAAATCATTAATATAAACAGCATAGTCTCGATTATCCACTTTTTTTGATTTAATTGTCAATGACCGTTAGCGGCATATAGGAATCTAATCCAGCCAACATCGAAGGCTAGCCTTGACATCGAGAGTTTATTATGGTCTGGATAAGTTAATTAATGTCTAATTGATAATTTAGATAACATTTCAGGCCTAAAGAAAGACTTGTAATAAGCAGATTTTGCTCTTGCATAATGCATGTTTAAATCCGTGGATTAAGCCGTGAGAAATTTGATATTTTAGCGAAAAATAATTTTTGACCAAAGTAGGTCGATCGTCCCAAGAACTATTATATTATATTGTTTTATTTATGTTAAAGGGTCTATCCATAAAGGTCAAAATCCAACAACAGAAAGGACGAGATGATGATATTAAGCATGTAGACTATGTTATCCAGTTGGATGAAACTAGAAGTAAATATAGTCACTGGTATCCAGTACATCTGGGCGATAATAAAATACAATCGGATGTAACCGTTACAGACAACATGGCTCCAATATATATTAAGGTAGGCATATGAAATCTTCAAAAACAAAATATTCTTAGAAATAAAACCTTAAGTCAAAACCTTTCATCAGTTTCAGCAGCAATAGATTTTCACCATTACACAAAACACAATTATATGGAATACAAGGTAACATGGCTTGTTAATGTAACATGGCTATCAATGTAATAAGGACAGTGTCTTTAAGGTAACATGGCTACTGGTTTCCGATGTATTAAGGACAGTGTCTTTAGTGTAACGTGGCTACCAATGTAATAAGGACAGTGTCTTTAATGTAACATGGCTACTAATGTAAAAAGGACAGTGTCTTTATAAATGTAATATGGCTACCAATGTAATAAGGACGGTGTCTTTAATGTAAATATTGCTACCAATGTAATAAGGACAGTGTCTTTAATGTAACCCAACCACTTATGTGGTAGGGACAGAGTCTTTAAGGTAACGTAACCTGGCTACCGACAAGGACCGTTTAGGTAACATGGCTACCTCCATGTATTAAGGACAGTGTATTTAAGGTAACATGGCTACTGATGTGATAAGGACAGTCAGTATCTTTAAGGTCACATGGCTACCGATAAGGACCGTGTCTTTAAGGTAACATGGCTCCCGATGTAATAAAGACAGTCTCCTTAAAGTAACATGGCTACTAACTAGGACAGTGTCTTAAAGGTAACACAGCTACATGTATAGTAGGGACAGTGTCTAAAAGGTGACATGGCTACCGATGTAATAAGGACAGTGGTTACTGATAAGGAGAGTGTCTTTAAGGTAACATGACTTCCGGTGTTATAAGGACGGTCCCTTAAAGAGAGAGAGAGAGAAATGGGGTTTAACGTCCACTCGACACAAACTAGGTCATTTCGGGACTAACATATGGTTTAATTTTATTTCAATAATTCGCTTGCGCGTAGGTGTCTTTAGCAGTGGGAGGAAACCGGAGGACCCGGTGAAAACCCACGAGGTTGGACAGGCGACCCTACTCCTTGTCACGTACAACCGGGGATTCGAAACCACGCCAGTAGTCCCTTAAAGTAACATAGCTACTGACCAAGACGGTGTCTTAAAGGTAACACAGCTACATGTACTGGTATAGTAGAGTCAGTGTCTAAAAGGCGACATGACTACCTTTGTAGTTATTAAGTAGGCCCCATCTTCATTGGCTTGGTTGGTGCATAAAAATAAGACGTTAAACCCCATTTCATTTCATTTATTGATAACTTATATTCCAGATTAATTGTAGTGATGATTATTATGGAGTAGAATGTTCGACATATTGTTCAACCGGCGGAGATAAAACAAACAATTTTCACTGTGATGAAGATGGACGGAGAGTTTGTAAGACCGGATGGACCGGCAGAAACTGCGACAAACGTTAGTAACGTAGTTCGTCTATCAATTCTCTCTTTCTACCTTTTTTGGCAATTTGTGATTGACTTGTTTGGTCAAGAAACGGATCGACCATTAATTGTTTCTTCCTTTCTGGCAATTTGTGGTTCGCTTATTTGGTCTAGAAACGGGTCAGAATATGGGAATTTACTTTCTCTGCCAGGTTGCGATAAATATTCATGTTTTTTGGGAGGAACGATTAGGAAGGAAACATACATGAATTAAGGGAAATAACCTACGAAAAAGACATCACGGCCGATATGGATTTAAACAAGACCTAGAAGTCCATCTACTTTATTCTTTGAGAATCGATCTCTGCCCTAAATGGCTGCCATATCCAAAAAATAGTATACTGTTTTGTAATACGTTTCTACCCCGTTTCACATCTGTCATACACACAAAGACTAAAGAAACCCTTTCAATTTGATTAAATGGAAGTAGACTAAGTGTTTTTGTCTAAAATCGACGATTTAGGACCTTAAAATGTCGGTTAACTAGCTTAGTGTCTGTTCTCAAGAGGAGCTGAAATGAAATGAAATGAAATGAAATGGGGTTTAACGTCCTACTGTTCATTAGCGGCGCTACGGCCTACTCTTATATCGAATTACAACTGTCAAGGGATCTTTTACGTGCACGCCAATGTGTACACGGGACCTCGGTTTTTCGTCCCATCCGAACGACTAGACAGCTGTCCTTGTCAGGCCCTCCGTCCTGCATCACTGACAAGGGGAAACCACGCCGGAAAATCGGGATGAACTTTCTCGGCCAATGCAGGGATCGAACACCCGACCTCTAGGCTAGACAGACAGCCTAAGCTTGGTATGAGAAACACTGAAACTTTCTACTTCTTTCAATATTTTTATCAGATGATTATGACGTGTGGTTCAAGTTGGTCGGAATGTTTAAAAAAAATGTGATAGGCCAAGAAATGGGGATAAAATTAGTAGTCTTAATCCTGGTCAAAGTATAAATATGGTTATCTCCCTTCCATTAACACAGAGTTTAAGACCGCACACGATCTAATTTTCTTTTATTTAGAACCCGAACATTTAGTCCAAAAATTATTCAAACCGACCGACTCAAGTCATGCATGGTTATTTTTACTTAAAGTAGCTAAGTCTCTAATTGAACATTGAAAACACAAATTATTTGTCAATTTAAATCAACATTGATGCTGTGATCTTACCGGAACATTTTGCCATTGGTACACGAATCGTGTACCATAATGCGTTTCAGTCCCAGTTCTAGCAAGAGACTCTAGGAACGAGGCTAGACATATGACACCAAACCAAACGGCGTTTGTAGACTGGAATAACCAGGCGCTAGAAATTTGCATTCGATTGAGACTGCGGGCATATTTCGCGGAACATAACTGATTTGAAATTAGAGTAAAAACGGAAACCATTGAATGTAAATCAGTTTATATACATTCATATTATAGTATTATATCAGTTGCGACCCACTTGTGTCAATTTCTAGGTCCCAAATGTTAGCGATTTAGCTCCTTTAATATTTACGTTGGTCTGTTGATCAAGGATCATAAAATATAAATTAAAATATTTTCAGCAATAAGCATCACCAAAGGCAACATGCTTAACAACAATACTGTAAGTTGGTATAAAGCTGAAGAAAGAGAAAACCCAATAAGCCGACACAAAAGGCAAGCAACAAGTGAGTAAATCACTCATATAGGGATGAACTGAGAAGTATGGTAGCCTAGACGGGACCCTTAATAACTTACATACTCTATTCTCACGTAGTCGTGGCCTTTTTAATCTTGAATTAAAATCTTTTGTATTGAATTTGTAAGACTTTCCTTTGACGTTTTTAATGGTTTGTATTCTCTGGAGGTTTGCGGTCAGGTTTTCCTAATTTTCTGTCGCCCGGGGGAAGACAACAAACCGGGAACCCCCTAGTGTGAGGGTCCCTAGTCCGTCCCTGTGGAAAGGTTGCCTATATTTTGGAATCTGTTCACCGCTTGCAATAACCGTATTGATTACCTGTGTTACGCGTGCAGTGAATAGGCGTAAGAGTCCAGGTGAGCTTTTAGTGGCGAACAGAATCTGAAATAGCTTCAAAATATTTATGGATGGGCTCGTTCTCTTATGGTCATGAATAATTGTTATTTTTTCCCCAAACATTAATTTACGACAACACCATATTCTGGTACAGTAGAATATATATCCAGCAGCCTTCCCAAAGTTTGTTATTCATGGGGGGGGGGGGGGGGGGTCCAGAGGGGTGGGGGCCGGGGCTTGGGATGTTGGGGGGGGGGGGTCCAAACCTCACTCTGCTCAGCTGCATAAAAATAGATTGTAAAACAACACTTTATGAGAAAAGTGTAAAGGTCCTGTGCTTTATAGTTCATCATCAGATGGTCGGATGGAATTGACAATCAAAACGCGAACTAATGATATAGACATGTGATATAACAATGCTTTGCATCAATGAAATTGAATCACAGTGTGATCCTATTAATTCATTATAAAAGTTGACATCAAACAGTGTGTTGAATTTCTCTCTTTAAAAAGCCCAATGTGTATGTATGCCTACGTAATTAAGAGAGGATGGTGGACTGCCAAATTTCCTAACCTGGCTAACCCCCTCCTGCACAAATTCCTGGATCCGCGCCCTGTTATTGTTGTTATTATGGCAATGATAGACTGTTCTTTTTCCCCAAACCGTTGATTTACGAAAAAAACCTTATTCCTGTACGTGCAAATTGTTAGTAGACCCATTCCTAAAATTAATCGATGTCCTAATTTATTTATATTTACTTATGATTAAAACTCTGAGAAGCTTCTACCCGTTCTCCTAAGTCGTTTTATTTATTAATATGTTTAATTGTATTTTTCAGACCCTTGTAACACCGCCCCATGTAAAAACGGTGCCACGTGTACGTGGATTGCTGGTGAAGATTTTACTTGTACCTGTAATATTCATTATACAGGAAAACTTTGTGATAGGGGTTAGTAGTCAACAGGTTTCTATTACCTCATTCCAACAGGTTTCTATTACCCCATTCCAACAGGTTTCTATTACCCCATTCCAACAGGTCTCTATTACCCCATTCCAACAGGTGTTGCCAAGATGTTTCTGTTACCTCATTGTCACAGGTTTGACTATTGATGACGTTGTCAACATGTTTCTATAACCTCATTCCAACAGATTTGACTCGTTTTGACGTTGTCAACATGTTACTAGTACCTCAGATCCAACAGGTTTGACTATTAATGACGTTGTCAACATGTTTCTATTACCTCATTCCAACAGGTTTGATTCATTTTGACGTTGTCAACATGTTTCTATTAGGCCATTCCAACAGGTTTGACCATAGAAATATATAAATAGACTATTTATATATTTCTATGGGTTTGACTATTGATGACGTTGTCAAGATGTTTCTGTTACCTTATTGCAGCAGGTTTGACTATTAATGACGTTGCCAAGACGTTTATATTACCCCATTCCAACAGGTTTGACTCTTTTGACGTTGTCAACATGTTTATATTATCTCATTCCAACAGGTTTAACTATTTTATGACGTTGTCAAGACGTTTCTATTACCTCCCTTATGGGTTAGGTCTAAATATCAAAGTCACCTGCAGATTTCGCCAAGGTCACGAGATGTGAACATTGCTAGCGCTAACCTTAACGATGGACCTAGCCCCAATCCTTACCCAACCCTAACCTACAATCTCGTGACCTAATCTTATATTTACATCTCAGCGAGCTTGACGAAATTGAGCTGGCCATAAATTAATACATTTAGCCCTGTTGTCCCTTAGCATTTTTTTTAGCTTAAAATATAACCTTCCAAAAGAAATGCCCGAGAGAATTTTCTGACAATAAATATCATGTATCTCCAATAATTTCGTTTCGTTTAGTGTTTCTGATTTTTTACACTATAACCCAAAACAAAAATAAACTTTTATTTGATTAGGTATAGATGAATGTGCTAGTTTACCATGGTATATGTATTGATAATGTTGGTTTTATTTCATCAGGTATAGATGAATGTGCTAGTTCACCGTGTGAGAATGGTATTTGTATTGATAATGTTGGTTTCTTTGAATGTCGATGTCTTGTTGGCTACACGGGAAATCTCTGTGAAACGGGTAAGTTAAGTTTATATACATGAACTCCGTGTGAAACGGGTAAGTCAACATAAGAAACTCGGTGTGAAACGGGTAAGTTTATATACATGAACTCAGTGTGAAACGGGTAAGTCAACATAAGAAACTCGGTGTCAAACAGAAATTAGTTATAGATGTTTGTGGCTCATAAATCTATCCATCGAACATACTGAGTGTTACGGACAATTGCTAAAAAATGCCCCCCCCCCCTTTTATCGCACACGATGGAAACTGTTAGCCGAACATTCATGAAAAAATTGTTCCAATCCTTATGTTCGTCGTCTGCCGGCTCAAAAAATAAATAATCAAAAAAAAATTTCCGAAAAAATGTTCGTGAAATCGAACTTGTTAAATATTTGAAACTCGCAGTTCGTCGTCTGCATTGAAGCCTAACATTTGAATGTCATGTGATATTTATGCGATCGCTGATTGGTGCTGCGTGGAAAAACACTGTTCCGCGAATGTTGGGCTAGAAACGCAGACGATGAAATGAGTTCCTCCAAATATCGATCATACGAAAACATAAACCAAAATATTGTACGGGTGCAGTCATTTCATTGGCTGAGGGGTAAAATCCTTTAGAATCCTTGGGATTTAAATATTTTAGGACTATATGAATATAGGCCATGGCGCCCTTTAAATATTTAGGACTATATGAATATAGGCCCTGATACATCCTTGGGATTTAAATATTTTAGAACTACGTGAATATAGCCATTGGGATTTAAATATTTTAGTACTATAAGCATATAGGCCCTGGTACCCTGGTACCCTGTAGAATCCTTGGGATTTAAATAGTTTAGTACTATATGCATATAGGCCCTGGTACCCTTTAAAATCCTTGGAATTTAAATATTTTAGGACTGTGTGATTATAGGTCCAGGTACCCTTTAAAATTTAAATATTATCTCTTACCCAATAAAAGGGCTGAGTTTTTGTAAATATAGGAGTATATTTAAATCATCTGTGTTGTTTTGTGTTTTTTATCAGATATTGATGAATGTGCTAGTTCACCATGTGAAAATAACTCTACCTGTATTCAGACAACACCAGGTGCCTATGCCTGTACCTGTGGTGTAGGTATCACAGGTAGAAGGTGTGAGATAGATATTGATGAATGTATATTCTACAGTCCATGTTTTAATGGTGGGGAGTGTGTTCAGGGTACACCTGGGAATTATACCTGTAATTGTCTCCCAGGTTACACAGGTAGGTTCCATCCATAGCTTTTTCGATTTTTTTGATGAGTGTGGGTTTGAGGGTGTGTGGGTGAGGGTGTGAGGGTGGGGTGGGTTGGGTGTAGATGGTTGAGGGTGTGTCTGGGTGTGTGTATGTAGGTGTGGGTGAGGGTAGGTGTGGGTGGGTGAGGGAGTATTGTCCTATCCTCTTTTATTTTAATGTCATCAAAAACTACAGACCCCTTGGATTGGAGAGAGAGAGAGAGACAGAGAGAGAGAGAGAGAGAAATGGGGTTTAACGTCCACTCGACATCAGCTAGGTCATTTCTGGACAAACAGATGGTTCATTTAATTTCAGTAATTCGATGGGCGTAGTGGGTGTTTAGCAGTGGGGGGGGGGGGCACGAGGTTGGACAGACGCCCCTACTCCTTGTCACGTACAAGCGGGAAATCGAAACCTCGTCACTTGACTCAATGACAGCCTTTAAAATTTAACGCACACGCGTAAAACTATTCGGCCATCCAACCTCCGTTAAATAAAATGATAGGGTGGCCCATGTGCTCTACAGAAATAAAGTCCACCGCTGATAGTTCGAGACTACCACTGAAGCGTACACATTCGCCGTGCCGAGACCAACTTTCTGACAATATGATACTATAAATAGCCATGGCACGTGCAATTCTCTACAAATCTATCAACTATTACAGCCGTAAAAAATTTATTGTTGACGATTTTGAATAGCAGTGAAATTAAGCTTCTTGGTTATTACAGCAGATTTAGAAATTACGTTCGTTTCATTTTTTAAATCGCTTTATCATTAACTGTACCGTTAAGAGCGGCATCTTTTGGTTTAGTACAAATAATATCTCTGAATCACTCGGATTAGACAGGAACATGATACTTGCAGTAGTTTCATTTTACTTTTACAAGGTTCTTAAATCGATTGTTGAGCTACCTAACGTGCTTATTTCTAAATTCAATTTCTTGTTCTAGCTTTCTGTTATGTTTCGTAAAAAAGTAGTCTTGATTATCCCGACCTGTCAATCAGACGTAGAATGGTCGATAGACTGGTTAAGCGGGACTAATTTCAAAACAAGGGCACGTAACCTATCTTTTACTCAAAAGTGTCTGGATGTAATGGACGACACTTGGAACCAGTTTTCAGTCTATTATTTATAGATGATTAATGGTCATAGCTTATTAAGTACAACATGATCGTTTATTTAGTGACTATAATTGTGTGAAACTGATTTGAGGCTTGGCATATATATAAATATTGTGGCGTAATTGTCGAGATATAAGTAGATATATGGAGATATTTATTTATGGTGGGTCACCCTAAAAATGATATGTCTGTTTGTCTGTCTGTCTGTTCGGGGTTGGCGGCTACACTAGGTCTGCCCCGAGTCTGAAATTTGGTGTATAGAGGTAGCTCGGACCGGGGAGTAACATAGGCCAGGTGGCGTTAGTCTACCATTTCCGGTTTCGGGGTTATGACCCCCGAGCGAAGCCGGGCATTCTTCTAGTGCTAGAAAAATCTTATTGAAACGTTGCCGTGTAATAAACAATAGTAATTGTTATTTGAGTGCGGGTATAGCTATTAAATTGTTTATTTTAATCATCAGGACAGGACTGTGAAGAGGAGATAAACCCGTGTAGTCCTAATCCTTGTGTTAATGGAGGTTCGTGTGTAGCAGGTGACGGTGGTAATTTTGATTGCAACTGTACTCTAGGATTTAGAGGTACACTTTGCGAGGAAGAGTTCGATATTTGTGCCGTGTTACAACCATGTGAGAATGGCGCCACCTGTCGACAAAATCAACCAGGTATTTAATTTTATCTTTTACCCGATCGAGTCCGCGTCTGAAATGAGACAAATTAAGCCTGGAACACCATATAATTAATTAGCTAATGCAGCTGCCGTTAGGGGCCACGGTGGCTAAGTGAATAAGACGCTGGCGCGCTAGCCCGGAGGTCGCGGATTCGATCCCGGTGTTGGCAGAGAAAGTTCATCGGAATTTTCCGGCGTGGTTTTCGTCTCATCAGTGGTGCAGGACGGAGGGCTGTCTAAGCGTTCGGACGGGGCGAAATACCGAGGTCTCGTGTACGCATTGGCGTGCACGTAAAAGGTCACTTGGCAGTTGGAATTCGATATGAAAGTAGGCGCGTAGCGCCGCTGTCCAGGCAAAATTTCCTTCATAGCACACTTTATGACACATGCCCGTCAGAGTCGAACAGTAGTACGCTAAACCCCATTTCATTTCATTTCATTGCAGCTGCCGAGTTTAAAAACTCTGGGACTAAGATCCACATACTGTTGCCCTAATATGTTAATTTTTGTTTGAATGTATAAAAACAGCATAATCGTTCAAATGTGGATACAAGTATTAAAATTGGCACAAATACTCCCTGAGGACTATTATTTTGAAAAAGTTCATTAGCCACACGAAAATCTAAAATGGCGGCCATTTTCAAGATGGTTGACATTCAGACAATGAAATATCTGATAGACTTCCAGACTTACAGATTTAGGCGACAACATAATACGTCCACAGGAAAATCTATGTGAAAGAAAAGCCGAAAACACACGGACACACATGGGCATTTTTGTGCTTGTATCCAGATTTGAAAGCTTTGAAAGATTTGAAAGCTGCCCCACCATTATCCTGTAGGATAGATGATACTATTTGGTCATTTTCTCTTCATTCCTCAGGAGTAACAAACTTTGAGCTCATCTGTGTTAGGACCGGGAACTTTTTGTGAAGTAAGATCATATACTTTAAGTATTGCACATTTCTCGGTTTTGTTGCACAGTTTTTTAATTTTAATTTCTCCCTTAACGGTTTAACGGTAGGACGTTAAACCCCATTTCTCTTATTCATTGACAGTTTAACGTTTGTTTTTTTTTAGGTTTATACGAATGTAGTTGTGCCGTCGGATTTACTGGGACGATCTGTGATAGTGATATTGACGAATGTCTAAACAATCCTTGTACTAATGGTGGAACGTGCTCTAACAGTGAAACTCCTGGAGAGTTTATCTGCCAGTGTCCGCAGGGGTTTACCGGGACGATCTGTGATACGGATGTAGACGAATGTTCCAGCGATCCGTGCAATAATGGTGGAACGTGCATTAACAGTGACATACCCGGTGATTTTGTTTGTCAATGTCCTGCGGGGTTTAATGGAACGATCTGTGAAAATGATATTGATGAATGCGCTAGCAACCCATGCACTAATGGCGGATCGTGCACCAACAGTAACATCCCGGGTGAGTTCCTTTGCCAGTGTCTGCAGGGGTTTACTGGGGCAATATGTGATGCTGATATTGACGAATGCGCCATCAATCCTTGCAATAACGGTGGAACATGTACCAACAGCGACATCCCGGGCGAATTCATCTGCCAGTGTTCGCGGGGGTTTACTGGGGTGACCTGTGATACTGATGTTGACGAATGCACCAGCAGCCCTTGTACTAATGGTGGAACGTGCTCCAACAGTGAAAATCCTGGTGAGTTCATCTGCCAGTGTCCACAGGGGTTTACTGGGGCAATTTGTGATACTGATGTAGACGAATGTGCCAGCGATCCATGCAATAATGGTGGAACGTGCATTAACAGTGATATACCCGGTGAGTTTGTTTGTCAGTGTCCTGCTGGGTTTAATGGAACGATCTGTGAAAATGATATTGATGAATGCGCTAGCAACCCATGCACTAATGGCGGATCGTGCACCAACAGTAACATCCCGGGTGAATTCCTTTGCCAGTGTCTGGAGGGGTTTACTGGGGCAATATGTGATGCTGATATTGACGAATGCGCCATCAATCCTTGCAATAACGGTGGAACATGTTCAAACAGCAACAACCCTGGTGAGTTCATTTGTCAATGTCCGCCGGGGTTTACTGGAGCGATATGTGATACTGAAATAAACGAATGCGCTAGCAACCCTTGCACTAATGGTGGAACCTGTACCAACAGCGACATCCCGGACGAATTCATCTGCCAGTGTTCGCTTGGGTTTACTGGGGTGACCTGTGATACTGATGTTGACGAATGCGCCAGTAGCCCTTGTACTAATGGTGGAACGTGCTCCAACAGTGAAAATCCTGGTGAGTTCATCTGCCAGTGTCCACAGGGGTTTACTGGGGCAATTTGTGATACTGATGTAGACGAATGTGCCAGCGATCCATGCAGTAATGGTGGAACGTGTATTAACAGTGATATACCCGGTAGGTTTGTTTGTCAGTGCCCTGTGGGGTTTAATGGAACCATCTGTGACAATGACATTGACGAATGCGCCAGCAACCCTTGCAATAATGGCGGATCCTGCACCAACAGTAACATTTCAGGCGAGTTTGTTTGTGAGTGTCCCAAAGGATTTAATGGAACAATCTGTGAAAATGATATTGACGAATGTGCTAGCAGCCCTTGCAATAACGGTGGAACATGTTCCAACAGTAACATCCCTGGAGAGTTCATTTGTCAGTGTCCGCTGGGGTTTACTGGCACCGTGTGTGAATCTGATGTAGACGAGTGCGCCAGCAACCCTTGTAACAACGGTGGTACATGTTCTAACAGCAACAACCCCGGAGAGTTCATTTGCCAATGTCCACGAGGATTTAGTGGTACAGTGTGTGATACTGACATTGATGAATGTGCTAGCAACCCTTGCAATAACGGCGGGACATGTTCTAACAGCAACATCCCTGGTGAGTTCCTTTGTCAGTGTTCAAGGGGATTTACGGGCATAAGTTGCGATACTAATATTGACGAATGCGCTAGCAACCCATGTGGTAATGGCGGAACCTGTCGCGACAGTAACGATCCCGGTCAGTTCATTTGTCAGTGCCCACGAGGTTTCACTGGAACAGTTTGTGATGTTGATGTGGATGAATGCGCCAGCAACCCTTGTAATAATGATGGAACTTGCAGCAACAGTAACGTCCCCGGTGAGTTCATTTGTCAGTGCCCACGAGGTTTCACTGGAACAGTTTGTGATGTTGATGTGGACGAATGTGCTAGCAACCCCTGTAATAATGGTGGAACTTGCAGCAACAGTAACATCCCTGATGCGTTTTTCTGTTTTTGTGCAGTGGGATTCTCTGGAAGAACATGTGGAATAGACATTGATGAATGCGCAAATAACCCTTGTATTAATGGTGGAACGTGCATTGAAAATGAGATCCCGGGTGGGTTCAGTTGTCAATGTGCACCGGGATTTACTGGGGTAACTTGTCAAGGTGATAAAGATGAATGCGCCGAAGACCCATGCAATAATGGAGGAAACTGCACAAATAGTAACATCCCGGGTGAGTTCTTATGTCAGTGTTCACAAGGATTTACTGGGCCTACCTGTGACGAAGATATTGACGAATGTATTAGTAACCCCTGTATCAACGGCGGAACTTGCACTAACAGTAACACCCCGGGTGAGTTTATTTGTGAATGTCCCCGAGGTTTCACTGGAACAGTTTGTGATGTTGATGTGAATGAATGCGCCAGCAACCCCTGTAGCAATGGCGCAACTTGCATCAACAGTAACATCCCCGGTGAGTTCCTGTGCCTTTGTCCACAGGGGTTTACTGGGACAATCTGTGATACTGATGTGGACGAATGCGCTAGCAACCCCTGCAATAATGGCGGATCGTGCACCAACAGCGACATTCCAGGTGCGTTTATTTGTCTATGCCCCGTGGGATTCACAGGGACAATCTGTGATACTGATGTGGACGAATGTGCTAGCAACCCTTGCAATAACGGCGGGACCTGCTCCAACAGTAACAGCCCTGGAGAGTTCATTTGTCAGTGTCCAGCAGGGTTTACTGGAGCCGTATGTAATACTGACGTAGACGAATGCGAGAGCAATCCGTGCACTAATGGTGGATCCTGCACCAACAGTAACATTCCTGGTGAGTTCCTGTGTCTTTGCCCACTGGGATTTACTGGGACAATCTGTGATACAGATGTGGACGAATGTGCTAGCAGCCCTTGCAATAACGGCGGGACATGTTCTAACAGCAACATCCCAGGTGAGTTCCTTTGTCAGTGTTCCAGGGGATTTACGGGGATAAGTTGCGATACTGATATTGACGAATGCGCTAGTAGTCCCTGTGATAATGGCGGAACCTGCCGCGACAGTATCATCCCTGGTGAGTTCATTTGTCAGTGCCCACGAGGTTTCACTGGAACAGTTTGTGATGTTGATGTAGACGAATGCGTCAGCAACCCCTGTACTAATGGTGGGACTTGCAGCAATAGTAACGTCCCCGGCGAGTTTATATGCGTCTGTGCACTGGGATTCTCTGGTGGAATATGTGAAATAGATATTAATGAATGCGCGAATAACCCTTGTATTAATGGTGGAACGTGTATTGAAAGTGAGATCCCTGGTGGGTTCAGCTGTCAATGTGCACCAGGATTTACTGGGGTAACTTGTCAAGGTGATAAAGATGAATGCGCTGAAGAGCCATGCAACAATGGAGGAAACTGCACAAACAGTAACATTCCGGGTGAGTTCTTATGTCAGTGTTCACAAGGATTTACTGGACCTACCTGTGACGAAGATATTGACGAATGTATTAGTAACCCCTGTAGTAATGGCGGAACATGTACTAACAGTAACACTCCTGATAAGTTTATTTGTCAGTGTCCCCGAGGGTTTACTGGTACAGTTTGTGATGTTGATGTGGATGAATGCTCCAGCAATCCCTGTAGCAATGGCGGAACTTGCAACAACAGTAACATCCCCGGTGAGTTCCTGTGCCTTTGTCCACAGGGTTTTACTGGGACAATCTGTGATACTGATGTGGACGAATGCGCTAGCAACCCCTGCAATAATGGCGGATCGTGCACCAACAGTGACATTCCAGGTGCGTTTATTTGTCTATGCCCCGTGGGATTTACAGGGACAATATGTGATACTGATGTGGACGAATGTGCTAGCAACCCTTGCAATAATGGCGGGACCTGCACCAACAGTGATACCCCTGGAGAGTTCATTTGTCAGTGTCCGACAGGGTTTACTGGAACTGTATGTAATACTGACGTAGACGAGTGCGCCAGCAATCCGTGCACTAATGGTGGATCCTGCACCAACAGTAATATTCCTGGTGGGTTCGTGTGTCTTTGCCCATTGGGTTTTACAGGGACAATCTGTGATATTGATATTGACGAATGTGCTAGCAACCCTTGCAATAACGGCGGGACATGTTCTAACAGCAACATCCCTGGTGAGTTCCTTTGTCAGTGTTCCAGAGGATTTACGGGGATAAGTTGTGATATTGATATTGACGAATGCGCTAGCAGCCCCTGTGATAATGGCGGAACCTGTCGCGACAGTAACATCCCTGGTGAGTTTATTTGTCAGTGCCCACGAGGTTTCACTGGAACAGTTTGTGATGTTGATGTGGACGAATGCGTCAGCAACCCCTGCACTAATGGTGGGACTTGCAGCAATAGTAACGTCCCCGGTGAGTTTATATGCGTCTGTGCACTGGGATTCTCTGGTGGTATATGTGAAATAGACATTAATGAATGCGCGAATAACCCTTGTATTAATGGTGGAACGTGCATTGAAAGTGAGATCCCTGGTGGGTTCAGCTGTCAATGTGCACCAGGATTTACTGGGGTGACGTGTCAAGGTGATAAAGATGAATGTGCCGAAGAACCGTGCAACAATGGAGGAAACTGTACAAATAGTAACATTCCGGGTGAGTTCTTTTGCCAGTGTCCAAGGGGATTTACTGGACTTACCTGTGACGAAGATATTGACGAATGCGCTAGCAACCCTTGCAGAAATGGTGGGACCTGCTTAAACAGCGAAATACCCGGAGAGTTTAAGTGCACGTGTATTGTGGGGTTTACTGGGTCGAGCTGTCAAACTGATATTGACGAATGTGCTAGCAATCCTTGCAGTAATGGTGGAACTTGCGCCAACAGTGGTACTCCTGGTGGGTTTGTTTGTCTGTGTGCATTAGGGTTTACTGGGGCAATATGTGATGCGGATGTAGACGAGTGTGCTAGCAGTCCATGTGGTAATGGTGGAACATGCCTCAACAGTAACGCACCTGGAGAGTTCATTTGTCAGTGTCCGCTGGGTTTTACTGGGATAATCTGTGGTACAGATATTGATGAATGCACTAGCAGCCCATGCAGTAATGGTGGGACTTGCACAAACAGCAACATCCCTGGTGAGGTCCTTTGTCAGTGTCCACCGGGGTTTACTGGAGCAGTATGTGACAGTGATGTAGACGAATGCGCTAGCAACCCTTGTGATAATGGTGGAACTTGCACCAACAGCGACATCCCGGGAGAGTTTGTTTGCCAGTGTGCACTGGGATATACTGGGGCAAGATGTGATAGTGATATTAATGGGTGTGACAGTAACCCTTGTATCAATGGCGGAACGTGCATTCAAATTGACGTCCCTGGTGGATTCATTTGTCAATGTGCTCCAGGATTTACAGGGGTAACTTGTCAAGGGGATACAGATGAATGCGCAGATGAACCTTGCAGCAATGGAGGGTCATGTACCAACAGTAACATCCCAGGGGAGTTCATTTGTCAGTGTTTACAAGGTTTTACTGGGATGACATGTGAAGACGATATAGACGAATGTGCTAGCAATCCTTGCAATAATGGCGGGTCTTGTACGAACAGTAACATACCTGGGGAATTCTTTTGTCAGTGTTCAATAGGTTTTACTGGGACGAATTGCGATACTGATGTCGACGAATGTGCTATTAACCCGTGTAGTAATGGCGGATCTTGTACGAATAGTAACACGCCCGGTGAATTCATTTGTCAGTGTCTACAGGGGTTTACTGGGACAGTCTGTGATACAGATATTGACGAATGTGCTAGCAATCCCTGTAGAAATGATGGGACTTGTCGTAACAGTAACAATCCTGGTGAATTCATTTGTCAGTGTCCACGAGGTTTTACTGGGACTATCTGTGATATTGACGTTGACGAATGCGTCAGTAACCCTTGTAGTAATGGTGGAACATGCACCAACAGCAACATTCCTGGAGAGTTTATTTGCGTATGCGTGCTAGGATTTACTGGGCCAACATGCGACACAGATATTAATGAATGTGAGTCTGACCCTTGTATTAATGGTGGAACGTGTATCGAAAGGGTTACTCCTGGTGGATTTTCTTGTCAATGTGCTCCAGGATTTACTGGAGTAACTTGTCAAGGTGATAAGGATGAATGCGCAGATGAACCTTGCAGCAATGGAGGGTCATGTACCAACAGTAACATCCCCGGTGAGTTCATTTGTCAGTGTGTACAAGGTTTCACTGGGCTGACATGTGAAGATGATATTGACGAATGTGCTAGCAACCCTTGCAATAATGGCGGGTCTTGTACGAACAGTAACATACCTGGGGAATTCTTTTGTCAGTGTTCACTAGGTTTTACTGGGACGACTTGCGATACTGATGTCGACGAATGTGCTATTAACCCGTGTAGTAATGGCGGATCTTGTACGAATAGTAACACGCCCGGTGAATTCATTTGTCAGTGTCTACAGGGGTTTACTGGGACAGTCTGTGATACAGATATTGACGAATGTGCTAGCAATCCCTGTAGAAATGGTGGGACTTGTCGTAACAGTAACAATCCTGGTGAATTCATTTGTCAGTGTCCACGAGGTTTTACTGGGACTATCTGTGATATTGACGTTGACGAATGCGTCACTAACCCTTGTAGTAATGGTGGAACATGCACCAACAGCAACATTCCTGGAGAGTTTATTTGCGTATGCGTGCTAGGATTTACTGGGCCAACATGCGACACAGATATTAATGAATGTGAGTCTGACCCTTGTATTAATGGTGGAACGTGTATCGAAAGGGTTACTCCTGGTGGATTTTTTTGTCAATGTGCTCCAGGATTTACTGGAGTAACTTGTCAAGGTGATAAGGATGAATGCGCAGATGAACCTTGCAGCAATGGAGGGTCATGTACCAACAGTAACATCCCTGGTGAGTTCATTTGTCAGTGTGTACAAGGTTTCACTGGGCTAACATGTGAAGATGATATTGACGAATGTGCTAGCAATCCTTGCAATAATGGTGGATCTTGTACGAACAGTAACATACCTGGGGAATTCTTTTGTCAGTGTGCACTAGGTTTTACTGGGACGACTTGTGATACTGATGTCGACGAATGTGCTATTAACCCGTGTAGTAATGGCGGATCTTGTACGAATAGTAACACGCCTGGTGAATTCATTTGTCAGTGTCTACAGGGGTTTACTGGGACAGTCTGTGATACAGATATAGATGAATGTGCTAGCAACCCTTGCACTAATGGCGGATCTTGTACGAACAGCAACAATCCTGGTGAATTTATTTGTCAGTGTCTCCGAGGTTTTACTGGTGGTACTTGTGACACCGATGTAGACGAATGCGCTAGCAACCCGTGCAATAATGGTGGAACATGCACCAACAGTAACATCCCTGGGGATTTTATCTGTCAGTGTGTACTAGGATTTACTGGGACCCAATGCGATACTGACATAAATGAATGCGAGTCTAACCCATGTATAAATGGTGGAACGTGCATCGAAAAAGATACCCCTGGTGGTGGATTCAATTGTCTGTGTTCCCCGGGTTTCACTGGAGTAACCTGTGGAGGAGATACCGATGAATGTGCCGAGAACCCATGCAACAATGGAGGAAATTGTATTAACAGTAATATTCCTGGGGAGTTCATTTGTCAGTGCTCACGAGGTTTTACTGGGCTAACTTGCGACAGTGATATTGATGAATGTGCTAGCAACCCATGTGTCAATGCTGGTTCTTGTATCAATGCTAACACGCCTGGTGACTTCATTTGTCAATGTTTGCGCGGATTCACTGGGCTTTATTGTGAAAATGATATTGATGAATGTGCTAGCAATCCGTGCACTAATGGTGGATCATGCTCAAACAGTGTCATCCCTGGTGAGTTCCTTTGTCAGTGTTTGCGCGGTTTCACTGGGCTTTATTGTGAAAATGATATTGATGAATGTGCTAGCAATCCGTGCACTAATGGTGGATCATGCTCGAACAGTGTCATCCCTGGTGAGTTCCTTTGTCAGTGTTTGCGCGGTTTCACTGGGCTATATTGCGAAAATGATATCGACGAATGCACTACGAACCCATGTATTAATGGCGGATCGTGCTCGAACGGCATCATCCCTGGTGAATTTCTTTGCCAATGTCCAAAAGGCTTTACTGGAACAATATGTGATACGGATATAAATGAATGTACAAGCAATCCCTGCCAAAACGATGGGTTTTGCATCAACAGTAACATTCCTGGTGAATTCACTTGTATTTGTGCAGTTGGGTTTACCGGGGCGACATGTTCTACCGATATAAACGAATGTGCCAGCAATCCATGTAGCAACGGGGGAACTTGTACAAACAGCAACACACCCGGTGTTTTCTCTTGTCAGTGTACAACGGGTTTCACTGGGGCAACATGTGGTACCGATATAGATGAATGTATAAGCAATCCCTGCGAAAATGGTGGATTGTGCATCAACAGTAACATTCCTGGTGAATTCAATTGTATCTGTGCAGTTGGGTTTACTGGAGCGGTATGTGCTACTGATATTGACGAATGTGCTAGCAATCCTTGCAATAACGGTGGAACATGCTCTAACAGCAACACCCCGGGAACTTTCCTTTGTCAGTGTACACGCGGTTTTACTGGACTAACATGTGCTACAGATATTGACGAGTGCGCCATCACGCCTTGCAAGAATGGTGGATCGTGCTCGAACAGTGTCAACCCTGGCGAGTTCATTTGTCAGTGTGTATCTGGCTTTACTGGTGAAACATGCCAAAGTGAAATCGACCTCTGTGTAAGCCAACCGTGTGAAAATGGAGCTGAATGTGTACAGAATCAACCCGGAACATACACCTGTATCTGTCCGAAAGGCTTTACTGGTCAAAACTGTCAACAGGATGTAGATGAATGTTTATCACGGCCTTGTAGCAATGGTAAGATAACTCTATTTCATCAGGACTCAGACTGCCATTAAATGCCCATTGACTTCAATGTTAAATGGCTGTAACATCACAGACTGTAGCTTTTTGCTCAACATTCCGTTGGTTCCAATCTTTATAGGCACAATGGGGACGACATTTGGCAATCTGATCATCATAATTTTGTAGGGGGTTGACCGTTTCGATTTTTTTGCTGCGGGGATTTGATGTTGACTGGGGTGAAAATCTCACTTCTGACACAATGATTGCTCTGCAGAAAGACACTTTACACTACTATCCCTCCGCTGTAATATCATCAGTATTACACAAAACTGCTATGAAATTGCAAGTTTTATCCCTTTCTCCAATTCTAGAACAAAAAGTCAACCAAAAAATGCAGGAAGAGGGGGAGAAAAAAATTAAGGGAAAAATTGTCTATTTATAACTCGCATCACTAGTCTGAGTTCTATATGTGGTTACAGATGGCCACAGATCACCAATGCAGATTTCCCCATTGACTTTAATGTTAATTCTCGTCTTTTAATCCGGCTCTAACATTGACCCACATTGTTGTTGGGTAAAACGCTGGTTCCCACAGATGGAGCAACCTCTTGCTCAAAAGCACAGATGAGATTCAACATGGAAAACTTGAGATACACAAACTGGAAGTAGATACCAAAAAAACATACAATTTTCCGCACTACATTGCAACCTAACCAAAATCTTAAAGCTCGTAGCCTTCCGCCTCAAAATCATGAATATTCACCAAAACCTGGCAGAAAATCTATATATTCAAACCCTTTTTTTTCGATTCTACACCAAAAAGTAAACAAAGATCACCATGCAAAAGGGGGAAAAGGGAAAGGGAGAGAAAGACTAAAAATAACGTAGGAATAATTGGTGAGCTGGATCCAAATACCGTCACAACGCATGACAAAATTAATTCTTACAATCTGTTTACACACGACTGTTGTACAAATTATTAATAGTCTTTGCCATCCCACCTTTTGCCTAGCGATTTATGTTGACTATTCATGATTTTGAGGCCTAAAAAGTTTGGTTACGGGAACGTTGAAATGTAGGGTGGACAGTTGCATGTTTACTTATATACTACTTCCAGTTTGTGTATCTCAAGAATTCCATGATGAACCCCAGACCTGCTTTTGAGCACAGGGTTCCCGCCATGTGTTGCTCCATCGGGGCTAGAAAGCGTCCCCCGTGTTTGGTTTTTTATAGGTGGAGTATGTCGACAACCAGGACCAGGTTTATATGAATGTGATTGTGACGTAGGTTTTACTGGTAGTCAGTGCCAAGTAGATATAAATGAATGTGCTGATCAACCATGTCAAAATGGCGCTACTTGTTCACAAGGTAAAATTTGAACTGGTTAACCACGAAATTAACATGACGGTTTGAAATAATTTTAACATCTGTCCGCCATGTTTTTTTGCATTTATCGGCGCTAAGCCACATGTTCAGTGTATCTGCCGTACGGCTGTTGATAAATTCTAAAGGCTAGTGAACATGGACAATAAATTGTCGTTCTTAGATATCATTTACACGGGACATCTATTTTTCATCCCATCCGAACGATTATAGATTGTCCCTTGCCAAGTCCTCTGTCCTAATGAGGCACTAAGTCCATGACGCCGGTTACGATATGTGACGGGGTGACGTCAATATTTCCTGCAAAGGTGGGACCGATTTTGTTAAAATAATACTACAAGAAATAAATACCATTCTGCCTGTATAACTTCGATTCGTAAAACAAATCTATTCACCTGATATACCCAGTGTAATTATTCTATATTTCTAGGTCCGCCTGGTACGTTTATATGTGCATGTGGACGAGGTTATACAGGTCTGTTATGTGAAACTGATATAGAGGAATGTACGTCACAGCCTTGTCTGAATAACGCCACCTGTACAGAACCGAGGCCAGGTAGTTTCTACTGTCAGTGTTCTAACACGTACACCGGACAGGTAAGATATTTATTTGGATCTTCAGAGACGTTGGTTCGCTAACCTGGAGGTCCCTTGTTCGATCCCTGCGTTGACCAAGAATGTTCATCGGGATTTTCCGGCGTGGTTCCTCCTGGCCAGTGGCACAGGGCTGAGAGCCTGACAATAGAACAGCGTCTAGTGGTTTGAATGGTACGAAAACCAAGGTCCCGTGTACAGGTTGGCATGCTCGTAAAAGAACACTAGAACTTTGGAATTCAAAATAAGAGTAGTCCGTAGCGCCGCTGTCCGTACAACGTTTCTGTCATGACGCACTGTATGATATCTCCACAGGGGAGGGGGTGGGGGTTGCCGAATGGTTAACGCGTGCGCGCTGTATCAACTGGCGTGGTTTCGATTCCCCGGTTGTACGTGCCAAGGAGTAGGATCGCCCGTCCAACCTCGTGGGTTTTCCCCTGGTCCTCCCACTGCTAAAGACTCCTACGCGCAATCGAATTATTGAAATAAAATTGAACCATATGTTGTCCCGAAATGACCTAGTTTGTGTCGACTGGACGTAAAACCCCATTTCTCTCTGTCTCCATGACATCTAGACGTCCAATTACCCCAGTTGATGCAGAACAGTGGGACATTAAACCCCATTTCATTTCATTTCATTTCACATTATAGTTATGGACATTTTTTATTTTTTTATTTTTCAAGTTTTGTGAATCGGAGATTAATGCTTGCTTGTCTCAGCCATGTCGCAATCGAGGACGATGTATTTCTCTACCAGGGGTCAGGTACAGGTGCGCATGCGCTGCAGGGTTTACAGGAGCAAACTGCGAGATGGATATAAAAGAATGCAACCCATCACCATGTCTAAATAATGGTACATGTTCTGAACCAAGGCCAGGACAATTTCAATGCACGTGCAGTTATGGTTTTGTTGGTGACCTATGTGAGACAGGTAGGTTGGAATCCATTAGTTGATATGAATAGAAAGGGGCTTGGCTAGGAAATAGCCTCTAGTCGTTCGGATGGATTGTCAAACACATGTGTGTAGAGTAGGCTGTCTGGACGAAATATCCCTTATAGCACATTGCATGACATATGGCATGCCCGTCTTTTGTTTTATTAACTCGTTAATGTTTGCTGTTTTATTAATTTGTCAGATATAATGTTTGACGTTTTATTAATTTATTAGGAATAATGTTTGATATTTTATTAATTTGTTGGGAATAATATTTCACTTTTATTAATTTGTTAGGAATAATGTTAGATATTGATTTGTTAGGAATAATGTTTGGTGTTATATTAATTTGATACGAATAATGTTTGATGTTTTATTAATTTGCTAGGAATAATTTGTGATGTTTATTAATTTGTAAGGAATAATTTTTGATGTTTATTAATTTGTTAGGAATAATGTTTGATGTTTTATTAATTTGTTAAGAATAATGTTTAATGTTTTATTATTTTGTTAGGAATAACGTTTGATGTTTTATTAATTTGTTAGGATTAACCTTTGATGTTTTATCAATTTGCTAGGAATAATTTTTGATTATTAATTTGTTTGATGTTTTATTAATTTGTTAGGAATAATGTTTGATGTTTTATTAATTTGTAGGGAATAATGTTTAATGTTTATTAATTTGTTAGGAATAATGTTTGATGTTTTATTAATTTGTAAGGAATAATTTTTGATGTTTATTAATTTGCTAATGTTTGTTTTTAGATATCGATGAATGTGAAGAGTTTAAACCTTGCTATAATGGCGGAACCTGTCAACAAGGGCCACCCGGTACCTACAAATGCACGTGTGCACCTGGTTACATGGGGTCAAACTGTGTTACAGGTACGATATTCAATTCGATCCCATAATAGGTTATTTCGAAACTACAACAGTGAATTTATTTACATAATAGCTTGGGAAGTGGGAGACTCTAAGAGATATGACAGGTTACCTCGCAACAACATCAAAATCAATCTCAGATCTGAGGCGCACTAGTTTGACAACCCAGTTACATCATACTAATGTGACTGTAGTTTATCTATCTGTTTGTCTGTCTATCTCTTTGTCTGTTCATGATTGGCGGCTGCACCGAGGCTGTTCCGAGGCTGCAATTTGGTGTATAGGACTTGCTCGGACCGGGGAGTAACATGGGCCAGGTGGCGTGTGCGTACCACATACAGTTTCGGAGTTATAGGCACGACCCGTGCAGCGCTAGTGTATGCATATACAAAATTAAGAATACGCCCAGTTAAAAATTGCTAAATATACCTCTCTTATTTCATTCTAATATACTTCCCATCAGGACATGACTGTCTGTCCATAAAAGGCGTCTTCCGTCTTCAGATGCTATAATGTATATATATATATATATTTATGATATTACTAGAAATATATTCATGTTGATATAACTTGAATAAAATGTTTGTATATTTTAGATGTAAACGAGTGTGTACCGAATCCCTGTTTCAATCAGGGGATTTGTACGGAAGGTATTCCTGGTACCTTTAACTGTTCCTGTCCCCCTGGTTACCAAGGTGATACATGTCAATTGGGTATGTACATCTTCTTAACTACCATCTACAACTCAGCTAGGGATTGGTCGATCTGTCACAAATGATAGAAACAATCAATCAATCTGTGTTTTCGGCCAATCAACGAAGACCTTAGAACTTCCCATTCTAGTGACGTGCAGAGGTTTCTTGCTTCTTGATTGTATAATCCTAAAGACTTATGTATATGATCTAGTACTCCGAAAGAAATGTGAGAACAGGGAACATTTTAAATATTAAAAAAACATTGAAATAAACTCTTTATTCAAAATAAGTAGGGCAGCTTCAAAATACCTTAATTTATATCCACTCTTTGATTGAATGCCCCCCCCCCCTCTCTACGCAAATGTCTAATTCCATTATTATGATATACTATGTTTCAGAACAAATTTGTTACAATAAGTGTGAAAATGGCGGAACATGTCAGGTAAGAAAACAGAAATTATATACATGTATGTATTTCAAGGTATACATGGATATAAAAAATGCAATTATCCCAGTTCTATTTCTCATTGACAATATAGCTGAGAATGTGTGTGTGAAATAGATTTATTTGACGTCCGCTTCCACCGCAGACCAGGCCCGTAGCCAGCGGGGGGCAACAATGTCACCCTGAAAAAATGTTTTGCCCCCCCGAAAAAAAAATTGCCGACAATAGCTCTAAAATACCTACTGTAGACTGTGCCGGGTGTGCCCCCCCCCTAAAAACTTCACTGATCCCCCCCCCCCCCCCGCAGCCAGCAAGCTGGCTACGGTCCTGCCGCAGTCTATACAATTGCAACCTGCATTAATAGTATTATAGTAGGCCACGGTATCTCAGTGAGTAAGGCACTGGCTTAGCACACTAAAACATGAGGTCCCGATTTAATCTCTACGTAGGCCGATGAAGTTCTCAGGGATTTTCCAGCGGCGTGGTCTACCCTGGGTAGTGGTGCAGGACGAAGGTTCAGACAAGGGACGACGTCTAGTTGATCGGATGGACGAACACCCTGGGTTCTCTGGGGAAAATTTCCCCCTTAGCACATGGCATCGCCTATGCCCGTCTTCATTATCCCGGTTGGTGCTGAAGAGTAGCACGTTAAACCCCATTTCATTGCGTTTCATAAGTAGATTAGAATCGATTCTATTTGAAAGAACACACTCTTCTGATAAAGGTTCTTCTTGAAGACAAACTGTATTTCATGTTATGTTCATTTGAAGTTTACATTAGTTTATATTGATTTATAGGAAGTGTTAAAGAGTGGTTATTTATGTTATTGTGTGCCTGGATTTACTGGTAGAAACTGTCAGACTAATATCGACGATTGTGCTGGACGGCCTTGTCAACAAGATGGCGTCTGTATAGACGGTATCAATAACTTTACCTGTGCCTGTATGAAAGGTTTGTTATCACATCTTTATAGACCACTCTTCATCACGGGTCGACTGAGAATGAGCCCGGGAGTGTGGTAGGCTCCAGGGCCCCTAAAGACGTTATTGTTCTCAAAGTAGTTTGAGGGTCCATTTGTTTAGTGTTTGTCTTTAATATATAGAAACATCAGGACATATTCTAGAATTCACCATGGTTCGCTCCTGGTGTTGACTGAGACACTTCCTCGAGGTTTACCGGCGTTGTGTCCCCTTATCATTAGCGTAGGGAAGCTGGGACGAGAATCCGAGGTCCCATGTAAACATTTGCGTGCACGTAAAAGACCCCCTGACAGTTGGAATGCCAAATAAGAGTAGTCCGTAGCGCTGCTGTCCGTGCAAAATTTCCCTCATAGCACACTGTTTGGCGTATGCTCAAATTCATTAGCCCAGTTCGGAGCAGAACAGTAGGAAATGAAATGAAATGGAGTTTAACGTCCTACAGTTCTGCTCCTAACCTGGGCTAATGAAGACGGGCATACGCCATACAGTGTGCTATGAGGGAAATTTTGCCCGGACAGCGGCACTACGGCCTACTCTTATATCGAATTCCAACTGCCAAGGGATCTTTTACGTGCACGCCAATGTGTACACGGGACCTCAGTTTTTCGTCCCATCCGAACGACTAGACAGCTTTCCTTGTCAGCCCCTCCGTTCTGCACCACTGACAAGGGAGAACCACGCCGGAAAATCTGGATGAACTTTCTCGGCCAATGCAGGGATCGAACACCCGACCTCCAGGCTAGCGAGCTAGCGTCTTACCCACTTAGCCACGTGATCCCCAGAACAGTAGGACGTTAAACCCTATTTTATGTGGTTTTCAGGTACCATGGGTGAAGTTTGTGAGATTAATTTAGATGACTGCGATCCAAATCCGTGTCAGAATGGTGCTACCTGTATTGACTGGACACATGATTATTATTGCGCATGTCCAAATTCTTGGACGGGTAAATCATGTGGTAGGTATAAAGTTAATCGATTGGATAGATATGTCACGTGGTATGTATAACCATTGCTGATTGGATCAATTGGTACGTTCGCAGTTGGTCGTAATAGATATACAATTTACTGGTTGGGCATGTATGCAACCGGGGGGGGGGGGGGGCTAGTGGTCTAGAGTGTCGCGCTTCGAGCTCTAGCTAGCTGTTTTGGATCCCTAAAATAAGACATCTTGTCTGCGATGGAAGCAGACGTTAAGCACTACGAACAACATGTATGCCACGTGATAGGTAGGCCTATAACCATTGCGGTTCTGGGTATTATTAAGACGAGCCAGGCTTATGAGCTCAGGGGATCTATGGACAGAGTTTTGGCTTTAAGCCGACCTTGCGGATAGTGTTTATAGAATAGACAGTGTTTATAGAATAGACAGTGTTTATAGAATAGACAGTGTTTATTGAATAGACAGTATTTATAGAATAGACAGTGATTATAGAATAGAGAGTATTTATAGAATAGAGAGTGTTTATAGAATAGACAGTGTTTATAGAATAGACAGTATTTATAGAATTATAGAATAGACAGTTTTTATAGAATAAACAGCATTTATAGAATTATAGAATAGACAGTATTTATAGAATTATAGAATAGACAGTATTTATAGAATAGACAGTAATTATAAAATAGACGGTGTTTAAAGTATAGACAGTATTTATAGTATAGACAGTGTTTATAGAATTATAGAATAGACAGTGTTTATATTATAGACAGTATTTATAAAATAGATAGTATTTATAGAATGTTTATAGAATAGATGATGTTTATGCAAATTTAAATATAATCTTGTTATTCTTTTCAACTGTAGATGTGAGTAATGTAGTAGCGATTTATGAATCATGTAACCCGATGCCATGTAGAAATGATGGATTTTGCTGGGAGAATCAAGATGGCCAGTTTAACTGTGACTGTCCGAAAGGTATGTCAGTCTCTACGTCACGTCTTGTCTAATGGTGTATAGGCTAGACTCTGTAAGAGTGTTTTATAATTTGGTAATCGTCATACACGGTTCCAGATTTAACAACACCCTTCCTCCTCAGTTTTCACCAACTTTGTTTAAAACTCACATTCATCGTCCATTAGTCGCGAGGGTGGTGGATTGGTGGGCAGAGGAGGAGACGGCACCAGGCATCTAATCAAAGAGTGATATAAAAATTAACTTCTGATATACTTAATTTGAATGATGAGTTTATTTCATTTGTATATTTAAAAGGTTCATCTTTCTGACATTTCCCAGTACTTGTATCTGGGGACATACAATCAAGGGGTTGGCCCTATACTTGTGTCTGCGGGCATATAATCAAGGAGTTGGTCCTATACTTGAATCTTAGGGACATATAATCAAGGCGTTGGCCCTATACTTGTATCTGGGGACATACAGTCAAGGAGGTGGCCCTACACTTGTATCTGAGAACATAAACCCAAGGAGTTGGTCCTATACTTGTATTTTGGGCCATACAATGAAGGAGTTGGCTCCAGGCATCGCCAAGATTCTGCAGATATCGGTTGCATATGTATCTATTGATCACCATGTAACCACGTCGAAAGTATACGGTTATTTCGACCTATGAATTCCTGAATTCATCAGGTCCATTAAAAACCTTTTCTGGCCCAGAACTCAACACACCTGCTATTCTCTATACCAGTTGTTCTCAACAGTTTTTACCAACGGCACACCTTGGAACACATGAAAAAATAGCGGTAGTACACCTGGATAAATATATATGAAACCGTAGACAGAGACTAGTCATAGACACAAAGAATGACTCAAACTAAATAGAGAAAAACACAGCTATGAATTTATCAATAGACACCAGTGAATACTCAATTAGAATCACGTGGTTTTTTCGCATTTTCTTAGTGTGCCGTTCAAAATTCCGCGGCACACTTAGGATGATCTCGCGGTACACTAGTTGAGAATCACTGCTCTAACTGTTATTGTAAATCCCCCCTAGTGTAGTAACTTGTTAGCTAAGAAGAATATTAACGATTGATGTTTTTACCTATTATTCAGGATTTTCTGGTACAAGATGTGAGATTAATTTAAATGATTGTAATTCGCGGCCGTGTCAAAACGGTGCTATTTGTATAGACTGGATTGATGACTTCTACTGTCGTTGTCCACCATTTGCTTATGGTAAAATCTGTGGTAAGTTTCACATTTATCATCTTCCAGAAGTCTCCCGTCAAAAGTCTAAACCTAGTAACCCACTTTTTTTATATCAAAATTGAGTTAGGACCAAATTTGTATGTGCTTCCTGTTGTTGTACTAGATATTCCAGTCTTTTGATTTTGTAAGCAGTTAAACCCATGACACAACCTAGCAACTTCCTTCATTTGCCTATATAGTATGCCACAGAAACACCTAGTAACTCAATAGTCAAATCAATGGATAAGCTGGGGTTTAATATTCATTTATTACGTTTTCCTTTGTTTTCTCAAAATAAGAAAAACGTGTGTTACTAGGTGTTGCGTTTTGACGGGAGAAGTGTGACGGTGTCCATGTCGGTAGTTTCACATCTATTGTACAGTACCAGGGCGAAGTTAGGGGACGCAATGACGAGTTTTTGCTCTCCTCTAAATGCTATAATTATACACCGTGGTTCAGATATGCTACAAACCGATTCTAGTATGTTCCTCGATCATTATCTATTGACATTCTCAAAGTTCTTCGGTATTTTCAAGTTTGGTTTGTCCTTCTCAGTGGTGCAAGACGCCCCGGACTGACTGGGAACAATATCTTGTCGTTCGGGTGGCACGAAAACAGATGGGGTTTAACGTCCACTCAACACAAACTAGTTCTTTTCGGGACTAACATATGGTTCAATTTTATTTCTATAATTCCGTCGCGCGTAGGGGTCTTTAGCAGTGGGAGGAAACTGTTGGTGCAGAAGCTTTAACTAAAACTCATCACTTATATAATCCATAAAATACATTTTGATCACACCTTTGCTGCAGAATACGGCGTTAAACTCCCATTCCATTTCATCTCCTGTGTCTTCATGATAGCAACAGCGATGGACGTCATGAAATGAAATGGGGTTTAACGTCCTACTGTTCTGCTTCGAGCTGGGCTAAGGAAGACGGGCATCCGCCATACAGTGTGGTACGAGGGAAATTTTGCCCGGACAACGGCCTACTCTTATTTCGAATTCCAACTGCCAGGGGATCTTTTACGTGCACGGCGATGTGTACACGGGACCTCGGCTTTTCGTCCCATCCGAACGACTAGACAGCTGTTCTTGTCAGGCGCCTCGCCCTGCATCACTGACAAGACAGAACAACGCCGGAAAATCTGGATGAACTTTCTCGGCCAATGCAGGGATCGAACACCCGACCTCCAGGCTAGGCCCACGATGTACGACCGGCCCTGCTTAAAACTAGGCTCTACAGAATTATCTTTTTATTTAAACATACATTATGCAAGATCTAAATCTATTGCAGGTCTTTCTTTAGGGCTGAATGTTTCCTAAATTATTAATAAGACATTAATTAACTTATCCGGGCCATAATAAACTCTCGATGGCATCGGATTTCTCCGATATTAAATAAATTAGAACAGTTCAGCCATATATTGATTTAAGCTAAAAATGGAGGAGCGAGACTTAGCTTCGAACAACCAGCACGGTGGTTCAAATTATTGCACGCGTCTTGCCAAACCTTCAAAGGCTGATATTTATTTTCGCTGGCAATAGAGTAATTTGAACGAAATTTTCAAATTATTCAATTAACATTATCTATTTTCGAACTATTATAGCAATAATGGCTAGCTCTTTATCTAAATCTATCTTTAAATGAAATGATATCTGTAACCTTACTAAACTGATCTCTGTTATCACTAAGATAGTGTTACACGAGCTAGCGTCTTACCCACTAACTAGGCTCTACAGAATTATCTTTTTAATCTCGCTATTTAATTGAAATGATATCTGTATGTTTTATGTTGTTTTATTTTCAGATAATATTCGAGTTGTACAACCTACAAGTCCGGAACCTTTCTTTGGAAATGGAAATGTTAGATATGGAATTAACCCCTTATCCGTGGCCATTTTACTTGGAATTATTTTTGGAATTGCCTTTATAATATTTACATGTTTGTTGATCTGGTTTCTGATCGGACGTCGTCGTCGTCGTGAACCAAGAGACTTCTGTTTCGCTCTGCCATCATCTATGTATGATCGACTTTATGGCACCCCACAAAAACCAGTATACACATGTTCAACACGATACTATAAAAAATGAAAAATTCATTCAAATCATAAACAGATTACGATGTCATTCAACCATTTCTTTTCGTTTAAGATCGCTATTATGTCACGCTTTGATGACTATGTTATGAGAAGGGCAGTCAAATCATAGTTAGATCACTATTTCGTTTCGCTTAAATAAATATTTAATAACATGAAATGGGATTTAACGTCATACTGTTCAAACACTATTTAATGAGCAGGACCGTCAAATCATAGTTATAATCACTATTTCGTTTCGCATAAATCACTATTTCGTTTCGTTTGATTTTCTACGCATACGAATGTGGAATGGAATCGGGAACTGTCATACGCATACGGTTAAAGGACAATATTTGTGTTAGCCATTATCACATATGTGATAGAACTGGGTTAAACACGTTCCAAATATAATTTTAACGCAGAGATCATTGCTACTATCACTGTGTCAAAATTATATTTTAAACGTATTTAACGAGTTCTATCACATGTGATAACGGCTGACACTAATACTGTTCTTTAAGGACACCATTGTGTATTGAACGCATACATAGTCTGTGTCCATTTTTTTTTACTTAAATTCTCGACAGAAGTATCCCCACCCATTATAATTTTATTTTGTAATAATTCATTATTTATAAAACAAGAACTGTTTCGTTTCTTATATTTAGAATTATATTTTTTCAAACAATATATAAAGGTTGTATGTAATATTTTTTCATAAAAAATAACCGTAAAGAAATAAAATGGGATTCAACATAGACAAATGTTGATAGCGGTGTTTCTACCTAGTCGTCGTCTCGACTGCGAACCAGGGCATTCTATCTGAGATTTGAATTTGCTAACCCTTCGACTGACGTTGTACATATTATTTAGCTTAAATATATGGATGTATAACGCTGTACATATTCCGTAGCTTAAATATATGGAAGTACATATATATGTATAATGTTGCACATATTATTTAGCTTAAAGGAGCTAAATCGCAAATATTTGGGACCTAGAAATTAACACAAGTAGGTCGAAACTCATATAATACTGCAATATGAATGTATATAAACTGATTTACATTCAATCGTTTCCGTTTTTACTCTAATTTCAAATCAGTTATCTTCCGTGAAATAAGCCAGCAGTCTCAATCGAGTGCAAATTCCTGGCGTCTGGTTATTCCAGTCTACATACGCCGTTTGGTTTGGTGCAATATGTCTAACCTCGTTCCTCTAGTCTCTTGCTAGAACTGGGGCTGAAACGCATTATGGTACACGATTCGTGTACCAATGGTAAAATATTTATTTTGTCTTAAATATTGGATATCAGAATCAGAAGCCCACCTTTTTCCGGTAAAATCACAGCATCAATGTTGACAAATAATTCGTGTTTTAAATGTTTAAGATTTTGGATGATATCGAGTTAGAGACTTAGTACCTTTAAATGTATGGATGTATAACATTGTACATATTCCGAATCTTAAATATATGGAAGTACATGTATAACGTTGTACATATTATTTATGGATCTATAATGTTGTACATATTCCGTAGCCTAAATATGGGGCGCTGGGTTTTGCTGGGAGTGGGGGCGGGTCGAATTCCTGGTCTCCCTTTCTGAAAGAAGCGACTGTCCGTCAGAAGAAGGGTACAACACACTTCACACAAAACGCTACTTACTGCCGGAAAGCCCTGATAATGGCCCGGATTGCATTTTGATGTGTTTGTCGTTTGTGAGTGTTTTCGGAAGGATTGGGGGAGAGGGGCGGGGGTAGTGTCATAAGAATTGGGGGAGAGGGGTTGGGGGCTCAACGAGTCATGTTTTCTGTGTAATATAAACATACATAAATAATTGTACATTTTAAGATTTTAATTCTCAGTGTGCAATGATATGTTAATAAACTAATTTATATATTTGTTAATATTCAAAATGACGAGTTTTCTTTGATTATTTTTGTTTATGAGAAATGAAATGGAGTTTAACGTCCTACTTTTCTGTACCAACAGGGCTAATGAAGACGGGCATACGCCATGTAGTGTGCTATGAGGGAAATGTTGCACGGTCAGCGGAGCTACGGTCTACTCATATTTCGAATTCCATCTGTCAAGGGTTCTTTTACGTGCACGGGTTTTGTTTGACCCGCTCGAACGACTATACTTTGTACCTTGCACCATCTTCCGTACCACACCACTGACAAAGGGGAGCCATACTGGAAATCCCGACGAACTTTCTCGGTCAACACTGGGATCGTACACGGTACCTACATACAGGTTACTACTCACTCAGCCACCCAATCTGATTAAAATACAGATCTATATTTCGTTTTGTTTTTTATACTTTTGATGGCCTACACTATACAGGAAAATCTGCCAAGTTGTACTCAAAGGTCGTGTCAGGGGTCGTACGAGCGGTTTTTGACCCCATGACGTCAGACATTGATTAATCAACCGGCGTTGACGTTTCTGGTGGTTTACTCACAGTTCCGTGCATGGCACGCCAAGAAGTCGCCGTAACAGACCGTTTCATTGGCCTATCCCTCACTTCAACCAAAACGCCAGTAATATAACAACTCTTCTTGATCCTAGTGTAGTAAAGACAAGTAAAGCGAAATTTTGAACTATAAAAAATGAAACGAAATAGGATCTGTGTTTTAATCAGATTGTGAGCCACCGCGGTAATTGTCTATGATATATTGTAATGGGACAGAAGGAATCCTATATTTGTCTGAATTTGTTTAATACATTGACTTAATACTGGAGTTAGGAATCGGCTGTAAAGAGCATGTGTTTTTAAATACATTGTAAACTTTCAACCTCAGAATTGGATCCTTAACATGGTCTTGATAGAGATTGTAATGGCTGTTCAGTTGTGGCTTCGGTTTATTGTTATAACATTACAAAATGTTTAAATTTAGTCACATATAATACCTTGCATATAGAATTGGGCGATGAGTGGGACGAGGAAGAAAGGGCGCTGTTTTGCTACATTATTATTGAGAAATGGATGATTGGTTTTCATACAAATGTGCTGGAGATCTTAATCTACATCATTTTATCCGAACTATATATGTTTATCAAAAATAGCATGCAGAAGTTCTTCAAAATATAATTTTGAGGTCATTTAGTGCAGAGCACACGACTTTGTCTCCTGGCAACCAATATTTTTAGACCCAGTCCGCCACTGGCTATGGCGCATTCTTCGCCACACGCCACAATTTCCAAATACTCTTCTTTGCATATTGAGATATTATTTGTTTTTATTGTGATTTTTTAAACATATTTACCTATTGTTTTATTTAAATAATATATATACAGTTATTAATACATAATTAATTCATATTGGCAAGAACTATTTGTCGGGGGGAGAGAGAGAGAGAGAGAGAGAGGGGGTAACGTCCACTCGACACAAACTAGGTCATTTTGGGACTAACATGGTTTAATTGTATTTCCAGAATTCGCTTGGGCGTAGGTTCTTTAGCAGTGGGGGCAAACCGGAGGGCCCGGAGAAACCCCACGAGGTTGGACAGGCAACTCTACTCCATGTCACGTACCACCGGGGATTCGACTATTTGTCGGAGATTTGACTCGACATAGGGTTAAATTTTTCCTGATTTGGACGATGAATTGCCAACGACTGATTAATTTGAGTATTCGGACAAGGCATATAGACCATTTGTTTCTATATAGTACATGTAAGTGCAGGCTCGGACCGCACTACACTACACAAAAACAAAATCAGGACAAAGCCGCGAAGGCTGCACACATAGACATCAGGCAAAGACGCGAAGGCTGCACCCATAGACATTGAAACCTTCTAGCTCGATGACAGTTAGGGGGGCAGAACCCGAAATGCCCGAAAATATTTCAGGTTTACAGACAGCGGCGCCGGTCTTCCTCGAGAGGCGAAGAAGCGGAGCTTACCTTGTATGCCCCCCCCCCCCCCAACCCCCATATACCCCCCCCCCCCCGCCAAGAAAATTTTGGAATATTTGACTGCTATTTCAGCCCGTGAACAAAGCAATTTCAAAGTGGTCTAATATAGCCTAATTAAGGTGGCCGAATCGAATTCCAATCAAAATTCTCAGTCTCAGATCGTACAAAGTGCCGGTGAACATCAAAATAGAGCTTTAAATTAGCTCTATCAAGAACATAACGCACTCACTCTCCCGTCGCGTACATGCTGTAACAGGCCCTGCGACGTACAGATTCAGATTCAGTATTCTATTTTTAGATCAATTCCAGCACCGGTTTTCCCCTGTTGGACGTTGCTCTCTCTTAACCAGACGAAAATGTTATAACAGATTTTATTGTTGAAAATGCAACTGGATGACCTAGACAACAAGCAGGTGCTTGTTTACTTTCCTATCTTTAACGTTGAAGAGTTCCACAATATCCAAAATGGCGGGTTGTACATGCTAGTATTTTGGAAATATTTTTTGAAATTATTCTGTGTTTTTGACATTTTCACTAAAGAATTTGTTGGATTTTATTAAAGATTTGGAAATGGAAGGTTCTTATTTTCCGTTGTCTAATATTTTAGGCCGCCTTGCATCGTTTGATAAGCTGCCGAATAGAGAATTGGTTAGTGACAGTGACAGGTCAACACGCGTGGAGAATATTTCTGTTAGCAACCGAACTTCTCTTTCTAAATTAGCTCGAGCAGGGTTTTATTTTGATCAGACTGAAGGAAGTATTCGATGTTTTTGTTGTAAAGTCGAATATGGAAACTGGGAGAAAGAATCACCCGTGGCAGTTCACCGAATCTTGAATCCAGAATGTCCATACCTCACCCAGACTGACAGGACCAACGAAAACACGACACTGACCCAGATAGAAGATCAGCACCCTTTTACAGGAATTAGACGAGCTTTGTTCCCTTCAGATTGCCGGAGAAATAATTATATCAGATGTACAGAAAGTCAACAGCCTTCAGCCACAGAAACAACAGATAACCAAGCTGTAGCAGACGAATTTCGTGAAGGACCAAACATTTCATCAGATATAGGTCAACTTGATTATCTTATAAATCGTTATATTGGTTTGATCAGAGGTGATGAAACGCCACCAACAACCACCAGAAGAACGCGACAATCAGTTTCACGAGATCACGTAGACGAATATTCTGGTAAAATTATCCGCCCCATAGTAGGAGATGTTCATTTTATTTGCTTTGAATCGTTTCGTCTGCTAACATTCTCTGATCCTATTAATCCACGATCTGTAGAATGGGCTAAAAATGGTTTCATGGCTCATGGTAGAGATCAAGTAATGTGTGTTTATTGTGGAGAATGTGCTGCCTTTGCCGAAACCTCCTCTGTTAAAGGTATCCATCAGAGAATTTCACCAGCTGGTCGTTATTGTTGTCCGATGGTCAGTGGTATTGATGTAGGAGATGTGTCCAGAGATTTGGAGAAACAAGTTCGAGAGAAATTAATCAACCACAATAACGTCCAGCCATCATCGTGTAGCACAAGTTATCCAGTTTTGCAACCACAATATAAAGCCTATGAAAAAAGATTAACCAGTTTTAAATACTGGCCAAAATATTATCATGTGACCAGTGAGGATTTAGCAAATGCAGGATTTTTTTATACAGGTAAAGTGTAATTACCATACTTTTTCTTTTTTTCGCCGTTTAGTACAATTACAATACAAAAGTCTTTTTTTTTTTTGTCTCTGTGAATGTTATTTGCATTTTCGGACATTGTCAAATTTTCAATGATTAATTCACATTTTTATTCTCAAACAGAGGATCTCTGCTTGACTAAATGACTTATCATAAATATCACATTTCAAGGCCCTGCATTGATCTCATCATATTTTATAAGAACGTATGATTATCCAGTATCAATTATGGTAGTAAACATTCATCAGAGTTGTGTACTTGAATAATTGAGCATGTGGTACTCGTTTATAGGGGGGGGGGTTGGATGGCTGAATGGTTAGCGTGCGTGCGCTGTATCATAAAGTCTGTCATTGAGTCGACTGGCGTGGTTTCGAATCCCCGGTTGTACGTGACAAGGAGTAGGGTCGCCTGTCCAACCTCGTGGGTTTTCTCCGGGTCCTCCGGTTTCCTCCCACTGCTAAAGACCCCTGCGCGCAAGCGAATTATTGAAATAAAATTAAACCATATGTTAGTCCCGAAATGACCTAGTTTGTGTTGAGTGGACGTTAAACCCCATTTCTCTCTCTCTCTCTCTCGTTTATAGGGTTATTTCTTGTAACCAAGGAAAATATGAACGTGCGGTAATTAATTATACTTTATTTTTTACAATAAAACTGGTCATGTCGCCCTATTTAGGCAGTGTATTTACCATACTGTTTCAAAGATGAAAATCATAGAATGTGCAGTTCAAAGCAGATCTGTCTGGATAAAATTCTTGCATATAATAAAAAAATGGTATATTAGTCTCTGAATGATAGGAGAGGTCTGTCTATTTATTTATCCACTGTAAACAAATGTTTCAAAAACACATTTCAGGGGCTGGAACAAAAGTTGTATGTTTTTGTTGTGGTGTTGCTATCAGAGAGTGGGAACGTGAAGCTGATCCTCTACAACAACATGCCCTGGTTTCACCTAGCTGTGAGTTTATACAACATCAACATGGACAAAGTTTTATAAACAGAATGAAAAATATCAAGGTATTAGATTAATTATAATGGTATTATGAGGGGAAACATAACGCAAATGAATGGAGTTAGCTCCCTTACATGTATGTGTTCAATCTGATTAAAACACAGGTCATATTTCGTTTCGTTTTTTATAGTTAAACTTTCGTTTTACTTTACTACACTAGGATCTTGGAAAGTGGTTATATGACTCATTTTCTGGATTATGTGAGGGATTAGCCAATGAAACGGCCTGTTACTGTGAATTTTTGGCGTGAGGTGTACGGAACTGTGGGTAACCCACTAGAAACATCAATGCTGATTGGCTAATGAAATGTCTGATGTCATAAGGACAAAAGCTGCTTGTATGACCTCTGACGCATCCTTCCACTACAACCGGTCAGATCTTCATGTAGTGTGTAGGCCATCGAAAGTATAAAAAAACGAAATATAGATCTGTATTTTAATCAGATTGTCATGTGTTAACTTTAAAAATTTCAAAAGACACAAAAACAAGATATTTTACAAGGTATTAAATTAATTATAGATATAATGGTGCTACATGTACATGTATGTGTTGATTGAATTGAGTGTAAACAAATATTAACATTGATTGTCTAGAATAGAGTTACCTCCCCTATGTATTAGCATTAAGACATAAAAACAAGATGTTTTACCAGTTAGAAATGTTTCGACTTTCAATTTAGTATTTTATGATAATAAAGAACATGTAGGCATAATAATTTAGTTAAGATTTCTGTGAACAAACATGTGCCAATCCATTCAGATATTGACACATAATATGGAGTTACTCCCCTTGACACATCAATTCCACTCACTTTATAAACACAACAGAAATGAAATGGGGTTTGATGTCCTACTTTTCTAGGCTAAAGAAGAAGGGCTTACACAATGCAGTTTGCTATAATAACCCACTCTGATTTTGAATTCCAACTGTTAAGGTTCTTTTACAAGCACGCCAATATGTACACCAGGCGTGAGTTTTCCGTCCCAGACAAACAACTAGATACTGTCCTGCACCACTGACAAGGATCTTTCTCTGCCAACACTGGGATCGAACCTGTAACTCCCAGACAAGTGAGTCAGAGCCCTACTCACTGAGCCACCACAGATATAATAAGCAGTTGGTTTGTTATAAAACATATTTATCAGTGTGTATTTATAATGTTTTGTTTTATTTTGTAGAAATTGGTTGAGTTGGATCCTAAAGTTACAGGTAATTATTATACATGTAGTAATTATACTCTGATTAATAGACTTGTATATCCAGTCATTAATATTTATACACATATCATTAGACTAGTGTTACCAGTCATCTCACTAGACTGGAGATTTATATAACCCAAGCTTTCTACCTGTAGACCAATGGTGATGTTGTAAGCGATCAGAGATTATTCCAAGGATGGCTGCCAGTCAACTATCCATCACACCTCCATTCCCCAAACAATATCGCTAGTCCACTATTCGTCAAAACTCTTAAAACAGCATAGACTGCCATAAACATACATAATTAAAAGTTGTTATCATACTACTGACATCTCTCACTAGAAGTGGTATCAGATGGTCTGCGATACTACTAACATCTCTAACTAGAAGTAGTAACAGGAGTTATCTACACAGTTTCAAGTGAATACATCACAGGTCACAACCATTATCTACTTTTACTTTAAGGTTAATTATATTTATCTGTTGTATATTTCAGCTCCAGTTCAACGTATTGGTGAATTAAACGTACCTGACCCTTATCCTGTTACCATGGATATGACCTTACTGACAGCTTATTCATCATGTGGGTACACAACACAACAAATATTCAACGTTATTCGTCAATTCTTTAAACGAACTCGTGAGTCTTTAATACTCACTTTAATCTTCCTCTCCCGAAACAATAATTACATGTAATATTCATTTCAATCTTCCTCTCATCAGAATAAGTCGTAATTATCCTCCCAAAACAATAATTACATGTACTACTCACTTTAATCTTCCACTAGTGACAATAATTACATGTACTACTCACTTTAATCTTCCACTAGTGACAATAATTACATGTACTACTCACTTTAATCTTCCACTAGTGACAATAATTACATGTAATACTCACTTTAATCTTCCTCTCATGACAATAATTACATGTAATACCCCCTTTAATCTTCCTCTCATGACAATTAGTCGTAATTATCCTCCCAAAACAATAATTACATGTAATAGTCACTTTAATCTTCCACTCACGACAATAATTACATGTAATACTCACTTTAATCTTCCTCTCATCACAATAAGTCGTAATTATCCTCCCAAAACAATAATTGCGTATAATAGTCACTTTAATCTTCCACTCACGACAATAATTACATGTAATACTCTCTTTAATCTTGCTCTGGTGACAATAATTACATGTAATAGTCACTTTAATCTTCCACTCACGACCATAATTACATGTAATACCCACTTTAATCTTCCACTCATGATAATAATTACATGTAATACTCACTTTAATCTTCCACTAGTACAATAATATCATGTAATACTCACTTTAATCTTCCCTCTCATGACAATACTTACATGTAAAACTCACTTTAATCCTCCACTAGTGACAATAATTACATGTAATACTCACTTTATTCTTCCGCTCATGACAAAAATTACATGTAATACTCACTTTAATCTTCCACTAGTGACAATAATTACATGTACATGTAATATTCACTTTAATCTACAACTTATGACAAAAATACATGTAATACTCACTTTAATCTTGCTCTGGTGACAATAATTACATGTAATAGTCACTTCAATCTTCCACTCACGACCGTAATTACATGTAAAACTCACTTTAATCTTCCACTTGTGACAATAATGACATGTACATGTAATACTCACTTTAATCTTCCATTCATGATAATAATTACACGTAATACTCACTTTAATTTTCCTCTCATGACAATACTTACATGTGAAAGTCACTTTAATCTTCCACTTGTGACCATAATTACATGTAATACTCACTTTAATCTTCCACTCATGATAACAGTTACATGTAATACTCACTTTAATTTTCCTCTTGCAACAATCATTACATGTAATACTAACTTAAATCTCCTTGTGACAATAATTACATGTAAATCTCATCATGACAATAATTTAGGAATAAATAATCCTGTGTTTAAATGAGAATCATTCAGGTAAGATATTAAATACAGGAGGAGAGCATCACACACAATAACAAACAAATATCCACTAGAAAAACAACGGTTTGAATCAAATATTCACAAAGGTCTGAAATGTCCTCTTAAAATCTATGTAAATTTAAATATGACCTGGATTAAGGATCATCAAATTTCCACTTTATCAAATATAACAGATTATTTCATTTATTCACCAGTTAAAGATGCTTTATGTAAGAGCTAAATTGTTTGGCCTCAAATGTTATTTAAATTATTGATTGAACATTATTCACATGCCAAGCCCATAATCAACTCGCTAGTTCATTGAATGCTTTTGATTTTCAACAGATTTAAACATGATTGTCCGTTAATAATATAGTTAAAAAATGAATATTCGAGACTTTGTATTTTAGCAATATTATTTGAGACTACACTATTCTTCAAACGGCCATAACTCTGCTCAGAATGAAGTAATTTGACTGAATTATTCAACATATTCCATTTTGCATTATCTGTTTTTGAACTAGTATAGCAAGAACAGCCAGCTCTTTATCTAAATCTTACATAATGCATCTAACTACACAACCTTCATCAATATTCATACATCTAGATGTTTTCTAATAAAAACAATCGCCTGTCCAATCTCGTAGGTTTTCTCCAGGTCCTCCGGATTCCTCGCACTGCTAAAGACCCCTATGCGTAGGCGAATTATTGAAGTAAAATTGTTAATCCCAAAATGACCTAGTTTGTGTCTAGTGGATGGTAAACTCCATTTCTCTCTGTCTCTCTCTTTGATAAAAACTGCTGCTCATTCCAAATTCTCATTCCTAACTGTATGCAATTATAACCATGTTAGTCTCACAAAGGACATCAAGATAGTAAACGTTTGAATCAAATTTCCTCCGGATTTTTATATATTTGTGTCTCTAGTAAACCTCATTCCATTGTAAAACTGAGTTGAATCAAATCAGTAACCATGTTTTTTATATATTTGTGTCTCTATCTACAGGTGGTAAATATCCTGATGTTCCCATGTTAAAAGCTGCCATGTTGGCTAATGGAGAATTAAAACAGAAAGACGACATGTTGGAGAAGAACTTCCAGGTGATTGACAGGTTAGATCATGTGATCAATAGAAATGACAGACATTATCGTGAGAGATTAGCCTTGGTTAACCAGCAATATACACAGGAGATTAATAATAAAGATCAACAACTGAACCATACAAAACAACATTTTCAGCAAGAACTGAACCATAAAGATCAACAACTGAACCATACAAAACAAGAACTGAACCATAAAGATCAAGAACTGAACCATAAAGATCAAGAACTGAACCATAAAGATGAACTACGACAACACGAACATCAGATACTAGAGGAAGAACTGAAGTTACGAGATAACCATATAAATAGACTGAGTGAATTAATACAAACACAGAGGAATGAGCAGATAGAAAGAGAGAATAACTTGATGAGAGAGAGGAATGAAACTGTTATGATGTTAACAGACTATCAGACTGAGATAGAGAGACATAATGAAGAAATAGAGAGACAGAAAGAAGAAATAGAGAGAGACATTGAGAAATATAAACAGGAGATTTCAAGTTTAGCTGCTGAATATTCTAGATTACAAACTCAAGGTAAAAACACCGAACCTTCCATGATTTATTTTTTTGTTTTTAATTTTATATTTGGGGGTTGGGTGACCGAATGGTTAGCGCATGTGCATTGCATCATAAAGTCTGTCATTGAGTCAAGTGGTGTGGTTTCGATTCCCTGCTTTTATGTGACAAGGAGTAGGATCATCTGTCCAGCATCGTGGGTTTTCTCCAAGTCCACTGCTAAAGAAAGACCCCTACATATAAGCGAATTAATGAAATAAAATTGACCCATATGGGGTTTACTGTCCTACTGTTCTGCTCCTAAACTGGGCTAATGAAGACGGGCATATGTCATACAGTGTGCTATGAGGGAAATTTTGCCCGGGCAGCGGCGCTACGGCCTACTCTTATATCGAATTCCAACTGCCAAGGGATCTTTTATGTGCACGCCAATATATACATGGGACTTCGGTTTTCCATCCCATCCGAATGACTAGACAGCTGTCCTTGTCAGACCCTCCATCCTCCACAAATCAGAAGGAACAATTTCAATCAAAAGGAACAAATTTAATCAATAGGAACAATTTCCATTTTGCGTCCTGTAATTTCAGTATCAAATTTTATTTTTTACCCCCACATTTTATGTATTTTCAGTAACAAATATTTTGATTTCTGTTAATTAATGTATTTTCAGTATCAAATGGTAATAATATAGATGTCGTCCCAGCACCATCAGAAGAGTTGACCAGTGAAAGAATTTGTCGAGTTTGTTTAACAGAAGAAAAAGTTGTTTTATTTCGTCCATGTCGACACGTCTGTTGTTGTACTAAATGTGCTCCACGTTTTGTTGGACAATCCTGTCCTATTTGTCGATCAAACGTTGACCAATGGGAGGTGGTGTTTGTTGTTTAATTCTTTTATTTCGTTTATTTTTTTTCGTTTAAGAATTAAATTGAATGAACTGTTTGTTAGTAGATATATTGAAAGAGGGCAGCAACTTTATGGCCATTTTCGGTAATCTCACTGGTATCATTCAGTTCTACTCCACTAACATCTGGATCCATCCACATAGTCTGGTGGCTTAATGCAAATGACCTCATTTCACCTTTGACCTGAAATCTCGAAAACGTGCCAACGGCGGACTGATTACCACTCGGCATCATATTCTACACAAAATTTTATGCCCATTTGATGGACATCCCCGCGCACTGATCCTCCGGTCTAACAGGGTTTTCATGAATTCAAATTATCCGCCCTTGTTCATACTTGATTCTACGAACGAATCAAAACACAGTTTACATACCAGTCTTAGCGTCATTGTTTACGTTCACCAGAATAAAGTTAATTGTAATAAAATGTGAGTTACTTCCTTCTGTTCGACCACTTGATTGGTCAATAAAAATATCAGAAGTGTTAAGGGGAGATAATTTGATGGACCCAGACGTTAGTGGAGTAGAACGGAACGATACCGGTGGTGATACCGAGAATGATTTATTGCATTTCATTTTTAGTGATTGTTTATTTAAGAATGAACTAAATCAATTATTTGGTTATTGTAAATTTCCATTGTATGGTTACCATAAAATCTTGTACAATTATAAAAATGACCAGCAGATAATTAGCATTTTATAAATGGCAGCAATGGATGTGTATTTCATTCATACAAAAGGACAGCAAAATGGCAGCCTCTATATTTGACAGGAATTTATAAAATTCTATATAGAGTTCTAAATTTATACAAACCGAGTCATCAATTTTCAATAAACTACGCAAGATCGTTTTGAAACAAGGTTATTTTAAGAAAACTGCCAAAGTTATTTTTACTGACTTACAATTTATCTGTCCCAGGTTATATGATATTGTATATTTATTGTATATAGAAAATCACTCATTATTTATTATGCTTATTCTAAGTATATTTTCTCATCATCATAGTCATAATATGGTATCATCATCGTCATAGTGTATCATCATCATCATCGTATTGTATCATCAATCAAATGGTTTCATCATCACAGTCATATGGTATCATCAGTCATATGTTATCATCATCATCATATGGTTTAACCATTATTATGCACATCATCAATATTCATCATCTGACATTCTTTTATTCAACACATGATCATAATCACCACATCATCCACATCCAATCATCACCATATCACCACCAATATCCGGGCATCCACATTCATTCCTCCCATCACCATCACCACCCACATTCATTCACCACATCATCCACATTATCAACATCACCACAACATCCAAATTATCAATCACCACATCATCCACATTATAAACATCATCCATATTATCGACATCATCATTGACTAGTACATGTAGTTTATATTCAATAAATGTTGTAGGGTTTTTTTTCTGTAATTAATTCTGATATTATTATTGTTCACATATTTATAACTATTTTTATATTTAATCAACTTGTATATTATTCTTCTACTCTTCTTTACTCTGGTAATGGTTGATTTCTTCTTTCTATCCAACATGGTTTTATTCATCCGGTTAATACTGTGTTATAAAATTTCTCTGTTCACCTAATGTGATTCTTTAGTTTCTATTTCATCTCGCATTTATACTTTGTCACTGCCAGTGCTATTTATGTATCTTTAATAACTCTTCTCTTTTGTTAATGTGCATTTTAACTCTTCTCTTTTGTTAATGTGCATTTTAACTATTCTCTTTTGTTAATGCAAATTTTACCTTTTCTTGTGTGTTAATGTAAATGTTAACTCTTCTCTTTTGTTAATGTACATTTTACCTCTTCTCTCTTGTTAATGTAAATTTTAACTCTTCTCTTTTGTTAATGTAAATTTTAACTCTCGTTTTAGTTTCAAATTGTTTGTTTTGTTACTGTACATTTTACCCAGTTTTAGTGCTAAAATACTTTATTGACTGCCTGATAGATTTTTGTACATTTTGTAACCAGTTTTATATTTAAACTGATATATTTTTGCTTTAAAAACTATTTATATATCTTATAATAATTATTATGCAATTTCTATTGTAAATAGGCTTTATAACACTTGTAGTTTTATATTTTATAGTTAATTTGTGTATATTATACAATATATTTAGATGTTTAGATAATTTTAGTTGTATTTACATAGAACCATTTAACTATTGTATATAGATAAACTTTCAGATAATTTTAAATGTTATTCATATTATACCATAGTTTTCATGATGAATATCAATCAATATTCTGTATCTTGAACCATATTCTAATAATACCATAATACCTGGAGGAGTTGTGTCTTTTGTCAGGTTCCCCAATTGCAGCCGGGCGGATCAAGAAAAAAACAACTGTGGTATGTCAGTCTGTTTCCCAAATCCTATACAGAGAAGACTAAATAAACTATTGTTTATACTGGTTATATATAATCTTGAATGCTAACTCTAAATGAAAAACAGATTTTTGAATTGATTGTAATATACAACTAGTTGAAATATATTGTCAAGTAATATCTAGAATCTATTTATGGTCAGTAATTGAAGTTATGTCCCTTGGATACACATTTGATTTAATTAATTTTTAGGGATGTAAGTGCATTGTATTTACCACTATATTTACATTGATCATGGTCAGTAATTAATCGAAGTTATGTCCCTTGGATACACTTATAAGCATTTAATTGAATTAAATTTAGTGATATTAATTTTATCTGTTGGTATTAAGTGGAATGTATTTAACAATATATTTACATTAATATCATAGTTATAGATGTAAACCTTGAAGAAATATTTGTTTTATTTAGAGAGAAATATTTGTATTATCTCCCCTTGCAAGGAAATTTAAAATTGGTTCTAATTATTTTAATATCATGGCCTAACTATTCTGATCAAAGTCATATTTACTATGTCCATCCATACAAAATCTATATGGTGTAAATTACATCTGATGTATGATATAAAATTACTTGTATGTAGAAATTATTGTTAAAATACAGGTACAATAAATATTATTAAAATACAGTTGTGACGTCATCCTTTGATGTTATCGTATCATTATTTCAAATACTAGTACGGGTAATGTGACAAGCGTACATTATTTATATTTGTTGAAATATTGGACCTGTGTGACGTATTTCATTGCAAAGCATGTGCGAATGTCTGTATTTTACGTTATTTAATGGTCTCGAGCTTAAGACATTGTGTAATATATTGAAAGTACAACTCGTGACTAACGTCACTGATATTGTTTCAATATATTACTTAATGTCTCGCTCTCGACCATTAAACCACACATACAGAATTTTTGGTGTTTAAATTTCATGCCAACAGTTTTTCAACAGCCATTATTTAGTAAGTAAATCCCTAGAATTTTTCGTCCTGTAAATCACATTGAGTAACCGCATCATTCAACCAAAGACTTTCAGACATGGGTGTTTCATAAGTGATTGGTGAAAACAATGCCGCAACGTCGATTTTCATAAATCACATCCCCAAGTGTAAATTGTACAAAGTCCGTACCGTTAACTGTTCATGGGGATGTACTGCGAGTTCTACTAGAACGTTGACGGTCCTTCATGGATGTATGTGCCGTGGTTCTACCAGTACGTTGTCGGTCCTTTATGGGAATGTACTGTGGGTTCTAGCAGAACGTCGTTGGTCATTTCTGGGAACGTACTGCGATGTCTTCCAGAACGTTGAAGGGTCTTTTATGGGGATGGACTATGCGTTATACCAAAACATTGTCAGTCCTTTCGGCCAATATTCTGTTGATTTATTTAAAACAATAGACCAATGGTCGTGCAATCGGTTTCACTGACATCGCAGCAAATAATTTGCCATCTTTTGTCTGTAGTTAGTTGTGGAGGTTCCAATCTGAACTACAGACAGTGAACACAGTGATTTAAAAACATTCATCATAACCGAGTTTGTAGGCTAGATGTTATGTTCCTGTGTTGTAGTAGTCATTATAATTAAAGATGCATGACTCGGTATTCCTTGGAACCTTGAAATAGAGATGCATGACTTAAAGAGCGTATGGCTCTAGTCCTTCGAACCTGAAATTAGACGAAAATGGAAACAAAAGGAAAGTATAGGACCAGAAATATATTTAATTAAATCTTATAATTACTCAATTTACTACCCATAAAATACGATTGCCAACACGATAGTTCTGAGTAAAACCGAAAAATTACTAATTGGTGACCTTTGACATCTTCTTAAGTGGCTTTTCCACCAAAAATACCATTCTTAAGTTATATTTAATAATTCAGGGTACACTCATCTATCAAATGCCACTGAAGTTGAACTTGCACCTTCCATGTTGATTAAACCATTTTTGGGGGTAGGCTACTATGGGTGACTCCACGTACCACAAACACCACTGGCACAACTTAAGAATTAGGTTGCTGGGATCAACTAACCCAGCCATACACCACTAGAATCACAAAACTTCCGCACCTTCCATGTTGAACAAACCTACCTAGCCCCCGGACTACGATAGCCTTAACACAAGATAGGGACTAGGATGAATAGAACTGGAGTTAAACTAATTATAGTATTAATTATTTTACAACACTTGTCTATGCTGCGCTCAATTTAATTATAATAACTACTTAGTCTACTCGTTTATTCTGTTTTATAATTAAGACTGAATTTTATAATTAAGACTGAATTTTATAATTAAGACTGGGTTTTATAATTAAGACTGGGTTTTATAATTAAGACTGGGTTTTATAATTAAGACTGAGTTTTATAATTAAGACTGAGTTTTATAATTAAGACTGAGTTTTATGATTATGACTGAGTTTTATGATTATGACTGAATTTTATAATTAAGACTGAGTTTTATAATTAAGACTGGGTTTTATAATTAAGACTGGGTTTTATAATTAAGACTGGGTTTTATAATTAAGACTGGGTTTTATAATTAAGACTGAGTTTTATAATTAAGACTGAGTTTTATGATTATGACTGAGTTTTATAATTAAGACTGAGTTTTATAATTAAGACTACAGTCTGGGTTTTATATTAAATACGTACGAATCTAGCTCCATGGCCAGGACGTCCAGGGTCCGATTCCGGTTCTAGACAGATTTCACCCTTGTCAGTGGTATATGACGGGGGCCTGGGAAGATTAAGCCACGATTCGTTGTGTATCATTGGCAGTACGTTAAAGATCCCTTGACATTTGCAAAAATGACTAAGAGTAAGCGAAAAACTGCTGCCCGGGGAAAATATCCCCAATAGCGCACTGCATGGCGTATGTCCTTCTTGTCCAGATGGTACATATAAGTAAGACGTAAGTAAGGTGTGTCCAGTAACATTTACCCTCTAGGAACCTTAGATAAAAAAATAACTTTCAACTACAGTTACCAACTTACAATTTAAAAACTTTTGGAGCAAAATTATTTTCATATCTGGCAGCTTCACATTGGAATAATCTGCCTACTGATTTGAAACAGTGCCCAACCCTACCAACTTTCAAATCATCACTGAAGACTTATCTGTTGTAAATGTTGTTTGAAATGTGTGTGCGTGTGTGGGTGTGTGTGTGTGTGTGTGGGGGGGGGGGTGGTGTATGGCCGAATGGTTAGCGTGTGCGCGCTGTATAATAAGGTCTGTCATTGAGTCAACTGGCGTGGTTTTGATTCTCCGGTACTACGTGACAACGAGTAGGATCGCCTGTCCAACCTCGTGGGTTTTCTCTGGATCCTCCGGTTTCCTCCTACTGCTAAAGACCTCTACGTGCAAGCGAATTATTGAAATAAAATTGAACCATAAATTGATCCCCATTTGTGTCTCTCTCTTTCTCTCTCTCTCTCCCTCTCTCTCTCTCTCTCTGAACTCCACAGGCGCTACGACCATACAGTCCGTGTGAAATAGCGCTATGCAAATATTCAATGCACGACGATACGGAAAGTTTGAATATTTCGATTTTACCATTGTTACACAGCGGTATTCATAACTTGCCAGCAGTTATATTCAATCGAAATGGTTGAAACAATGATATTTATCAATTAAAATGCATTGTATAACATCTATTGTCTTAACATCCCAGCAGGTATATTCAATCGAAATGGTATCAATTAAAATCCATTGTATACCAACTATTTATTATCGACATAACACTGCGGGTCTGTTTGGTGCAAGTTTTTCTTATATGCGATATCAGATGAGTGAAAGCGGACGTCAAGCAAATCGTCCCATTCTAGACCAGTTATATTCTCCTTAATGGAAGAACCGGTATTACTTTGTATGCTGGTTTTTTTTTTTTACATTGACTAATTATTAGTTTCAGTAGAAAAGAAATGCAATAAGATAGGATTTAACGTCCTAATGGTCTGTGGTTTCCATTCCCCGGTTGTACGTGACAAGGAGTAGGGTCGCCTGTCCAACCTCGTGGGTCTTCTCCGGATCCACCGGTTTCCTCCCACTGCTAAGGACCTCTACGAGCAAGCGAATTATTGAAATAGTTTGTGTCGAGTGGACGTACCCCCCTCTCTCTCTCTCTCCCTCTCTCTCTCTCTCTCAGAATAACAGGACATGAGATCTAGCATCCGGGCTATCCACATCTATCAGATTTCTCAAGGCCAATGTCCATGTATCTTCAATAGAAGGCTTGATCTCGCTTTAACTACGTACATCTTATCAAGGCCTTCACGTAATACCCTCCATATTTCAG